CTTAGAACTTAGTGCCTTGAACATGAATAAAAAAACTGGTGAAAAATAAAGACAACCGAATGCATGATTTTCGAGAACGGGATGCCAAAATGAAACAGTGTATGAAAAAAGAAACCATTGGTGGAAAAAGACGAGGAGTAACCATTTGCACAATGCGGGAAAGGGAGAAGAAAAATTTATCGCAAAACGGAACGCCAAAAAAGAATGACAGTGAACACATGCTCATGACGTGCAAGAAAGAAGAAAGAAGTGATCCGCCGAAAAATTTCAAGGTCTCTAACTCCTTGTTGTTGTTTCATTTTTTTCGAAAACAAAAAAAAAATCACATCATGTAGTAAATACGACAGACTTGAACCAACAACGTTATGTACATATCGATCAAATTAACATGTACTTGTCAGGGGGGCCCATCAAGCACTCACACAATGCTTTAACTATATTCTCGGAATGACTAAGTTGTTTGAGACAACAAAGCAACTATCGATACATATACAAACAATCAAACACACATATGCACGACGATGTTTGAGGCAAATAATCAACAAAAACAATCATAATCATAATAATCATGGAAGCAACTGAATTTTCGGCAATTAGGTGCCGCACTCAAGTAAGCGCAGCTCACGGTATTCGGCTTGTCTTGTTTTTCTTTATGGTAATAGTTTTGTTTTTATTGTCTGCCGTACCATTATTTCGATGGCTGCTCCGAAAGAATAGAATGTAACAAAATTACTTAATGGTCTAAGTGCGTGTATGTGCTGGAATTGTATGTTTTCAAAACCGTCTTTCTCAGCAACCAGAATCTGAATGTCAATGGTGCTGACCATACCAACCGACGAGTGGATTTTGGATGGCTTCAATTATTTGCTTGCTCGCTTCGTTTTATCCAACAGAAAATTTCCGCTATTTATAAATTAACTAAATGCAATTTTTTGGCATGAACAATGAAATAATCACAAAAATACGCAGGAATGCTGAAATTTCTTATTGCAAAAAAATGTGTCGCTATTTTGGAACTCTGACGAAACATTCTTATTCAATCAAGCAGCTTTTGCATTGAATTTTAAGCCTAGCTGATTGGCACCATTCAAATACATTTTCTTTGGAGATACAACCAAAATAAAAAAGTTGTTACCGAAAATTCCGATGGGTCAGTAAATGAGATTAAATATTTTGCGAATAACATTCGTATGCATATTCGTAAATCGATTCATTCGGTTCGTTCGTTTATGTGTTTGCGTGCGTGAATAGCCTTCAAATCACAATACTGTAGCATATCAACTTAGAAACAAACAATGTAGTTTCATTGGACCGGCCAAATTTTGCATGTCATATTAAAATAGGCGGTTATTATCTGTTTTGATCAGTAACATGAATAGCAGCATGCTAGACACCATTTACTCCTCTCTTTCTCTTCTCATTTTGCACAATATATATTTAGAACATCAATAGAAAAAAAAGCAAATTCAAATTAGATCGATGTGATATGAAGAGAGTGAAAAATCGAGAACAACCAAGCACAGCTTATTCAAACGCTGTGCATTCAAAGAGATAAATACACTGTTTAAACATATATAATTAAGAAATCAATATGCATGCTCTCATAGAGCTTATACTTTTTTGCCGTGCGCACCGAGTTTGATCGGCCTCTATCGAATGATGCATTAATGATTTAGCCGTGATTGAGTCGGTAATTGATTCACTCAAACTCAAAATAGCCAATAAAATACAACGCACCAATTGAAGTACATACAAGACCCCTATTAAAAGTTTCATGCACTCAGACAAATTTAAATTGTAATTGCATGATTTCATCAATTTGTTGGTTGTAATATACAAAAACAAACAATGCTCTGATAAATTTAACTAAGGGGCCAAACCAAAAAAAACAAACCCATTTGATGAAATGAAACGGCTTCAAAATTTTGTTTGGCGTTGGAGTGTTTGTTGGAGTGCATTAGCTTTTGATTGTATAAGCTTCAATTTCAAATAAAAAAAAGTCATGTATGTATTCTGGTGGCGATTACAGGGGGAGGAAAATTTTTTAAGCCTGATATAGAAACACACATTGTATTTTTAAATGACTATATTTATTATTCAAAGTAGTCTCCATGAACACGAATGACACTTTCATATCGATGCTTCAATGCTTTAATTCCTCCTTCAAACCACTCGGCATCTTTGTCCTCCCATACGTTGAAAATATCGTTCGATATCTCTTCTTCGGACTCATATTGCTTCCCCTTCAGATATCTTTTGGTGTTTGGGAACAGGAAATAGTCGCTGGGGGCCAGATCTGGAGAATACGGTGGATGGTGGAGTTGTTCGAACCCACATTCCCTGATGGCAGCTTGTGCAAGCAATGATTTGTGAGGCGGTGCATTGTCATGCAAAAGAAGAACTTTTCGAGTGAGCAAACCAGGACGCTTTTCTCTGATCGCTTTACGCAATCTATGCATTTGTTGTGCATAATAATAGCCCGTGACTGTGGTATTCTTTGGAAGGAATTCAACCAATAATATGCCTTTGGCATCCCAGAATACAGAGGCCATTACTTTGTTTGTGGCAATTTGTTTGCGTGGCACTTTCGATGCTGGTTCACCACGTTTGTGCCATTCCATCGTCTGTGATTTGAGCTCTGGATCATAGTAGTGGATCCAGGTTTCGTCGCCAGTCACTATTCCCTCAAATGTGTCCGTTTCATTCCATTCCAACAACTCGAGAAACTCGTGTGCAGCAGCAATTCGTTCTTCTTTTTGGGATTTGTTCAACGTTCTTGGAATCCATCGCGAGCAAACCTTTCTCATGTGCAATTTTTCATGAAGTATGTTGTAAATACTCTTCTCTGAGATGTCAAACATTGCTGCTAACACTTTCTTGCTCATTCGAGGATTTTCGTGCACGTGATGTTCAATTTTTTGCACTACATCTGAAGCTGTTGCTTCAATTGGTCGACCTGTATGAGGATCATCTTCCAATGATTCTCTACCCCACTTGAATTGTTTTGCCCATAGTTTTACTGTGGCATACGATGGGGCAAGGACCCCATAAACAGCACGCAAGCGATCATTGATATCCTTTGGTGTCACACCTTCTTTTGTGAGAAACTTAATCACCGCACGATATTCGATTTTATCCATTTTTTCAAAAATATCGAGGTTGCTTGGTATGCAATGATGTTGAAAACAAACGACGACAGATATCAACTCAATTTTTTTCTGCAATACTATTGAGTCAATAGTATTGACAGTTCGTACGTCAATTACAGCACAAGAACAATTTGTAACTAGTGCCGTCTATATGTCAGGCTTAAAAAATTTTCCTCCCCCTGTAGATAGAGAGATGGTTCATCCGAAATAGATAATGAAATAAAAATGTTATACCCAGCTACTTAATGTTTACGTTACTGAGTGAACGTACGAGTGCTGACAATGCCGATCTGTAATGAATAGATCGATTTGATATCGTGCACCAACCGCAAACAATATAACGAAACACCGAATAATAGCATATAATAATAGCGAACGAATGAACAAACGCAAAATGTAGGAAATTAATAGCCGAGTATCGAAATTGGCAAAAATATCCAAGACCGCTGCACCAATCAATTTAAAGTGATCGCAATGGGACCCAGGAAATCATTTATATATACATACATTATAGCATCATTGTGATGAGAGAACAGCTGACCAGATAAGCAAAGGGTTTCAGTGACTAATATTGTATATTTTAACATGCAGAGAATTTAAACTCGCAGCATTTGCACACATTTTATGTCTAATGCACAAAGCAAACACTTGATACTTTGCAATGCATATCGAATTTATCGCATCTGTTGTCTATCAACGTATTAATATGATATATAGATTGAGAAGAAAATGGCACGAAGAAGAAAAACGAAATAGTTTCTACAAAAAAAAAAAGTTGGAAGCACATAAAATTAGTCGAAGCAAAAATTCTGTTCTATATTTACTACATAACAATTAATTAGTATATATATAAATGGAAGCCTAGTGACTTTATTTACATATAAGTCTCTTTTTTCATTCAATTTCATTCTATGTCTTTTGAATTCTTTTATATTCGCTTTCGGTTGTCTGTCTGTGCGAAAAACATTTGATCCGTATATATAAACCAAACGCTATTCAGTTATTGATGCTTACATTCAATCCGATTCGATTAGTTATGTACAGCGAATATATTACAACACTATACTCTATATAAATAATGCTATTAGCTAACGATGCAGTCAAAATCGCGCTGTCACACGTTCACTTATGTATATATATCACACAATGAAAAAACATTTTATTACACAAATACCAGCACATCGAATTCATATTACGAATCACAGACACACAGTCGCATTTTAAGCATATGTAATATACAAATACATGCTCGCATTTGGAAATAAAACCGAACGAAAAAAAATGCCAAAGAACAAAAAAAAAAAACAGACGAGAGCGAAAAAAAAACAACAAATCTCCGGCATACATCTACACATGAAGTAAAGTAGCAACCAGCACATATCACGAACGGCAACTATTACATCGGCGTTCACAACTTGAGCTGAGTGTCGTCTTTCGCCTTCATATCTTGTGTGTGTATGTATATAAGCGAACGCGAATCTGTACACAGTTTTGCATTCGTTCACATCGCGTTGCTGTTCGTGCAAAAAAAAAACAGCAGCAGCAACCAAAAAAGCAGTAGTGTATGTAGAAGAAAATACGCCACCACTACAATCGAGAAATGGAATAGAAAACCCGACGGGACAGAAAAAAAAAATAAACATCAACAATCAAGAATGAAATAAAAATTTGGATTTTGTGCAAAAGTAAATAGAATTTAAGTTTCAGTATGAGCCATCGCGTCGCACAGCAAACAACGCTAACACCGCCCGATACATCACCAGCATTATATAGACTAGAAGTAAAATATCCCGTGTGAGAGCATAAAATAAAATTTATTTAATCTTCTTCTTGCGAATACAATTTCGTTTTGTGTTGAACAGTGCATTTTCAAATGGCGAACGAGAGTTAGCATACCAACAAAATATATCCAGAAATTTTTGTTTGACGCTTCTAAGTGAACCTATATATAGATATTTTGATTCAACATTTTTAGAAAAAAATCACCGATTTTCTACCGAGATTTAGCTTCTTGTACATTTAGTGACGTCTTTTGTTTGCAATTCTTTTTTCTTCATCACGCGATTTTCCATCCGAGTTTTTATTACCATTTGCATTCACTCAAGTGTTTATTAGATGAAGTTAATATATTCAGAGACAGAATTTTTTTTATGCCTTATCAATTACCAAACAGACTTGAACCACAAAAAAGTGCCTACTCTAAGTGCGTGATTCGCAACATATTTTCGATGTGTTGTTGTTGAATGTTTTTTTTTTTGTCAATATATTTTTACCAAAGTGTCTAAAAGTAAATTGTGATTACACACTTTTTTCCGACAATATTTCACTTGAACCGAATTTTCTCGAGCAATTTCGCAACTTTTATAATAAAATACTGAAGCCAAACATTTAACAGCCGAAAAAAAGAAATCGAAGCCGACGACAGAACAAAAATATGTTAAATTAGTGCCTAAATTAAGACCGTTTCTATATTTTGTGTAACGTCATTTACTCCAGGAAGAACGAATGCACGATCAGTAAATTGATCGTTTAAAAAAAAAAAACTATAAAATGATGAAAATACTAAACTAGACAGAGCCGTGGAGACAGACAATTTACAATCAAAATTAATGAATTATTGAACGAAAAGAGCAACTGATACACACACGAAGGGAGCAAACCCAAGTAATAAATTTATATTTAGTTACAATTAACTAGTGCTGAATTTATACGATTTTAATCAATTTTAATGAAAATAAATGGACACAAGCAATCGTTTATGTTGATCAGCATCGCAATGAATTGTACAAATATTAAATATATTAACATGTTGGTATAGTTACGGAACCAATTTTTCTCTATTCTTTCGCAAAAAATACGACGAGCGCTCAAAAAAGACAAGAAAAAACATAAACTTTAGATTTTTTTTAAAACAAAAAAAGTGAACAGTACAACTATCGATCTGTTGGTATCATTAACATACAAGTTATATATATACATTCAATCGATAAAAAAAATTAAATTCAAAATAAATTACAACCATGGATGTTTGGATGCAAGATGTGGTAGGTTCTGTTTATAATCTTTTGTTTTATTTTAAATACAAGCTGTATCATTTGATTTAGATCTCTCTGATCATTAAAAAAACCTAAATTCAACATCATAAAACTCGAAAAAGGAATTATCTTAAAATTTCGATTGTGATTGAAAAGCGATAAAAAAAATACAACAACAAAATTATAAATTGAAAGTATCAGCAATTAACGAATATGATGGCTGTAACAAAGAGGTAAAAAAAGGTATCAGAAATCAATGGGCGAGAGGCATTGTAATCAAATTCGTAAATCGTAAGCAGTTAAAGAGAAAAAATGCGGCTAAGCTGCATGATATATATCATCCGTAAATCAAGCACAACAGATATATATTCAAACACAGATATAGAATAATCAAATCCGAATGAATGAGCGCGACACGGTGACAAAAATATAAATACACTCTGCATGTTGAATAAAGTTGAAAAAAAAGAGTATTTTAAACGATTATCAAGTTCATGGTCAAAGCGATCTAATTCGTTTCGGTGATGCATTTTGTTGTTGTATTCGAATCTATCTCTGTTTCACATTTTATGCGCCGGTGTCGGCGAATCGATTCAAAAAAATTGTACATTTTAACAAAATACACACTGCAATAAAGATTGTTACAATAATCATTTTTTATCAGCAATTGGACGCACGTAGTTCAGTTGGTATTCAATAAATTTCCATCTTACCGCTTATATGTGCCATTTTCTTTTTATCGATGAAATTTATGGCTCCTTTTTGATCGCCGCTTCTGTGCGCCATACATTCGAATGGTTGAATTATTGTCACTGGATGCACCATACTCGTTGATATTATTGCGATTTGTCACATGCCATTGTAAAATTCATCTGTTCACTGTATATTTTAAGCGAAGCGAAGAAAATTCTTGCGATAAGCTGAGAATGCATGAGGGGAATTCGAATTGGTTTAAGCTGATGATTGCACATTCGTCTAAATTGACAAAGCACACAATCATTTTTAGTGTGAAGTTTGCTTGATATACCTACAGCGAGATGCTATTTGTTATCTAATCTGAACTGAAATGACAACAGGCGCGCATCAGCAAATTGCCATCCAATGTGATTTTTTTTGTTTTGTGTATACATGTTATCTATATGTTTGTATGCATGTGTGTGCTCTCGTTCTACGGTTGCCCCATTGCACAACATATTTATTTTTTGATGCGGTTGACAAGAAAACAATGGGTGCAACCAGCAACAACACAAAACGGACAAAAAATCATTTCATTTATTGTTATTGCTTGCATTCATGCAATCTGTTAAAAATGCTCTCTCCAACTCTCCCCCTCTCTCGGTGTGTGTTTGTTTGTTTATTAGATAAAATGCTCAAATGTACTGAAAGACTTATTGTTTTGTTTGTTTCACTGATCAATTTATGTTTTTTTTTTCTCTGTTTTTACATTAATGCATATGCACATATGAACGTTTTGCGACTATATTTTTCAGTTTCGGTTTTGCATTTTTAATTGTATTTAGCACCCCTTGTACAGCAGTGACATTTTTCGAAAAGAAGGATCGTCACCATAGCTTATTTCACTTTTTTTTCGTCTCCATTTGTTTGCAAGTGCAAATACCAACAAATCGCTGTTGTCATGTAAACTTGACTGATAAATGAAAAGTACGCGCTCGTTCAATGGAATCGTTCCGCTGTTATATTTAGAATAAGCACTATAAAAAGAAAATATTCCTTCGATCGTTGCGATTTGAAGTAACACTTAGTTTGATGTGCGAAACCAACTTGTGCATTTCGTTATCCACACGATAATTTATTATTATATTCATTTTAAAAAGCCAGAGATCACACGTACTCGAATCAATTCAGATTGCACCAAGTGCAGAGTGAACAAAAAAATTATTCCTCGTGCCTCTAATAAAACTGGAACAACGACAATAACAGATAATTTATTTTTCTTCTCGTCAACATTTTCATTGGTCAGCTAAAAATGTATTTTTTCCGTGTTTTACTTCGAGAAAAAAAAACTTCAAATCAATATTATGCAATTTATAAAATTGATCAAACATCGATCGCTAAATACCTAATTGAATTTTTTTTTAATTATTTTCTGAAAATACAAATGAAATAGAATTTATGTGTGATTTAATAATTTGACGCAAAAGGTTCATTGAAACTAAAAGCAATGACAGCAAGATTTGAAGTTTGCGATACGATCATAACACACACAAACAAAATAATAACAATAAATATCGAGCCCACGATGACGCATTGTGTTACGTAAATTTACGACGTATATGGTAACATAAACACACGAATGCAAAAACAACATCATGTTTCTATTAAGTCAGCAAATTGTCGAAGTGGACGAGTAATTCGAATCAAAATTGTCGTAAGCAATTGAAAAGTAGAATGAAATGAGAGGACGAGAGAGAGAGAGATACACAAAAACCTGTACAAAAACTACCGCACATAATTTTCCTGCATCAATAGGCGAAAATAAAAATGAAGACGCAATACACACCAGCCATGAAATGTGTAATGATAACCCCAAAGACAACGGTTGAACAACGTTGAGACATCGTGTGCGATAACTGGCTAACAATAGTTTCGAAATAATTCATCCTTGTTTCACGATATCAAATTGCATCTTTCTCAACAAATTCAATAACAAAAAGAAATTTTCTGGCTAATTCTTCATAATTCTTTGAAAGCGATAAGACTATCTAAAATCACTGAGTGCCACATTTCATAATAAATCTAAAGAGCTTCAAACGAAATAATATACTCAGCTATCGTTGGAATCGATATTACACTAAAGTTTATGATTACATTCAACAACATGCGTAATCGTCCATCATAATCATTAAGTGCATCTCGGATTTGTTATTCGGTGCGGCAAACACCTGAAATAGATGCTTTCTTAAGAGTCTGTTTTTGCTGTCTAATTATTGTTCCTGTTATGAATTTCAATGGAAAAAAAATATTTTATTCTTGTTTAGTCTTTGAATTTGCGCGGCTTTTGATGACGTGCTATAATTTTGAATTAAATTCTATGACGTATGTGGCGATTCATGATCAGACTACAGAATTCTCCTTATATCTGTATAAAGAAGAATCGTTTAGTTTTACTTTTGGCTTGTGCTCTTTTACCTCTCGTTCTTTGACGAGCTCCGGTTTTGTATAGTACATTAGTACAGGAAAACCCTTGGTTTTTTTTAAAGCGTTCCATATACATTTTTTTTAATGCAAAGCAGTTAGATTCAATTCTGACCTTGAATTTTTCCACATAAAATTGTATATGGCATATGCATTTTCGATTACATCATTCATCATTCTCTGTCGAAACTATTCAGTGTGTGTTCGTCGCGTTTTTCTCTGCCATTTGGTTTCTATGCCCGGCCAATTGGACGGAATCTTAATTCGCTTCGTGCTGTTGCTTTTTTCATTCTTCCATGCCATTGCTTTTATTTTCTTGTGCAAAGTCCTCGACTGACTGACTGACTGACAGTGCTTAGGTTTGTTTTATGTCCGTACTACATTTGATATACATCTGCCTTTCATTATGGATTCACTTTTAGTTTCGTTTAAATAACTCGAGCATTTAAAGTGCCATTAGAACGCAGTTGCCGAATCGTGAATGAACAACAGAAAATATAAATAAAATTAATATATTCGCATTAGTTTCAGTTTTTTTCTACCAAAATTTAAGTAGATCCATATTGAAATTCTTCATATGTTTTAAAAAAAAGATTTTCCACAAGTTCTAAGAGCTTTGGAATGTTATTAGATCAAAAAAACTCTATTAAATCACTCTTATTTCAAATGACACTTGCCAGATCTTTCACATTTTAAGTGAATTGCTCTCGAACGATCGATGAATGCCTGGACTTGACGAGCGCATTCGGAAATTGTTCGCGGAAAGTAATATGTGTTTTTTTTGCGAATGTGGAATTCGTCGCAATAAAATTAGGATGAGATCTAAATAAAACTCAAATTGAGTTTTGCCATGTTATAATATTTTTTTCAACACTGTCATCGATCATTTTATGGCTAGTCATTCATCGATTCATTAAATTTGAATTTGAATCTCTTTTAACATGTTTTTTTTTTTCTTCTTTTCAACTTGAAAACTTGGCTGTAGCTGTTGCTTTTTGACACTGTGTGTTTTCGGGCAGATGAAATGTGCGCACTTGTACCTCTCGGGTTGGGTTGTCTCTTTTCAATTGAGAACTATTACATTCTTTTCATTGTATTGGGTTTGGTTCTATTCAAATGTTTCGCTATTTACATACATGAAATACATTTTTTATGTTGTGGTTTTTCTAATGATGATATTATTACCGCATTGCTTCTCTCTTTCTCGTGTGTGTGTGTATTTATGCGTGTGTGAGATGATGATTTTTGCATGGGGCAAATTTGCATGGCGTTTTAATTTTTTATGGTATACGCTGTCGCGTTTATGAACATGCCGAGGGGTTTTTAAAAGTAAATTAATCATTTTTATGTTTTCGTGGATTTTCGTCCTCCCGAGAACTTCTTTTTTCTTTCAAGCTATGGAACAGTGAAATTTTTTAAATAAATCGTTGTAACCCAAAGACTCTTTCAGTCTCACATTTTTGCTCCCATCCCATTCTTCCTGCAAAATTTTTTGACTGAAATTACTTATGTTCATTTTGATTCGAATGTGTCGCATTCTCTTTCATCAAAAGTGTGATCGTTATGTGATTAGTGAACAAAAATGTAATGATTTTTCTATGTTGCAATTTTCTCAATGTCATACAGTATATTCGTTCAGTGTTTGACATGTTTTTCCCTGGTCGTGCTGTGTGTTGCGATTAAGTATTTTGCACTTACAATGTTCGACCAGCTGTGCGAACGTCGTCAAATGTTCTCACACACACATACACCAGTCAGCCAGTTCCGGTGCACAAAAACCGATTTTTTTTTTGTTTTCAAAGTAATATTCGTTTTCTTTTTTACAATCTAACACGATTTACGATTCTCTCATTTTCAATGTATTCCGGCGATATAATTTGGTGCGCTGTATTTTCATACACATACAGTTAACGATGCCATTTTACTATGAATTTTAATGATGTTTCTGAAGCACAGAATAAAAAAAAAACAAGCACAAAAAAAAACGAGAATCGTTAAACATCCGTTGTTGGACTGCATCAATTTGCAGCTCGTTGCGACGTTTGGCTTTAAGCCCACGAAATTTATCAGTTTCGCTTATCCAGAGTGACTTAATAGCATCTCTGTCTGTATTCGCTTGAGCCAAATTAAAAATAAATTAGTCGAAAGAGATAAATTTGATATACATATGAATTATGGGCATACAAAAAAAAAAAAAAACAAAAACAAAACGGAATTTTTCGTCTGCTTTTGTTTCTTTTTATTTTGTTAGATTTCGTATTATCAAAAAGCCTTTATCACAGTGTCGCCGCTATACGTAACATCGACGAATTATGAAATTTGTTTTTCTACTTTCCTCTATCAATCGTTTTCGGTTTTTAATCAAAAACAATGCATTTTACTTTCAAATTTTTGCGAGGAGAGTCGAAAGTGCATTTTGTGTATTTTCTTACGACGCAACATATGCGCGACGCTTGTCATTCTTTGCAAATATTATCTCGTATATTAAGGCACAATAAATGGTTAAGTTTTTCTTCATTTGACTACATTTAGAAGCAGAATGCATAGGCATTCGTCATTTTTCAATAAACTGCATGAAAAATTATATGATTTTTTTTAATATGCATGCATTAGAATGAAATTTTTAATCGCATTAAATAGATATGTATGTATATGTGAGACGGTCGACAGATGATAAATCGTCCGATTTCGACGGCATGCATACGTGCAATATAGAGATGAAAGAAGAGGCAACAGTGCAAATACAGAAAAAAAAATCCATAAAAACTATTATGTAAAATTACAGCATGGGAATGCGCAACAAAACTAAGTCCAAAATGCAGAAACTAACTATGTGTATGTGTGTGGATGTATATACGTGCAAATCGCGCTGTTGTGATGCCGTGTGTATATATAAATGGCCGGCAACACAAAACACAAACTAAATAAAGTACAATTTAAGACACACATTTACATATTATTTACGCTATGCTTGTATGATCATACCACAATGAGCGTTTCGCCTCTGTCTCTCTCCGTCTCGCTCTTCATCATTCTTCTGCACATGATAGTCCGTGCGTGAATGTTTATTTATCGTGTATTTATTACACATAAAGTGGCTGCCTCTTTATTTCTCTCTTTTTTCGTTTCGTTTGAAAAGATACACAGACCGGTTCACCTTGAACTTGGCCACGAATCAAAAGAATATACGCATACACATACAAATAGCGAGCGCAGAGCTATGAATCGAATTGCATGCGAATGTAGATGAATATGTGATTTTTGTTGTTTCTCTTTCTCTTTGCTGTGCGCTTTTTTTCGGTGGATTTTTTTTCTTCTTCGGTCTTTTTCATTATTTTCACTTCATTTTCGTTCGGCGACTACTTTTCCCGCATTTGATATATATATGTATATAAAATGTGTGTCTGTATGGATGTTTTTTTTTTCAACTCGTTTTTCTTTTCACTTTAATTTCGCTTTTTACGCTTTTGTTCTCTCTGTTTGTTATTTCTGAATTGGCGATTTTTGGCCGGCTAACACATTTATGCAGTCAATTGTAAAGAACATATTTGTTGCGTAAAACCATTTTTTTCCACTTCCTCAGTTTTTCAAGTTTAAAGCGCATACGAGAAAGCGAGTGAGATTCAAGTGTTATAGCATTTAGTAGCAAAGATAAATGTAATTTATTTAGTAACCACACATAAGAATTAATTGAGTTTGAGGTTTCATGATATTTACTGTCGTAAAAAATAGTTTACCATATAAAGAATGAAGTTTTTTGGTTCAAATTCCTTTGGAATAATTCGTTTTTAAAAAACCTTTTTTTTTTAAATCGCGTGCACTGTTCACAATATTTTACAAAAAAAGAAGGGAATCATACTAAAATGTTCTAATTATGTGTTTCTTTTAATAATTTCAGATCCCTATGATGGCAGAGACACCGACTCATGCTCACGCTCATATAAAGCAAGAAATTGATACTACATGCTGTAGTCCATCGCCGTCGAACGGCAATTTCAATGCGCAAGGTTTCATATTCAACAATTCTGCTTCAGCAAATACGGTATTGGATCTAAAATTAGTTTGCCAATTCTATTTTTAGTTAAAACATCGTTTTTATTCCATTTTTGCTTTCATTCACAGATGGATTACAAATGTACACCCATCAATAATAACACGAACAAAAACTCGCCAGCATCACCGGAACGTCAATTTTGCTCATCAACCACACCATTGGGTGATGAAAAATTTCCGGTATGTCAATCGGATCAAAATGATTCGAACAAGGAAGAACTACCACGTCGCCTTTGTTTAGTGTGTGGTGATGTTGCATCCGGTAAGTTAATTTTTAGCATAAAAGAAAATGAGTGTGCGTTTCTGTATCGCTAATATATGTTGAAAATTCGATAGGATTTCATTATGGAGTTGCGTCATGTGAAGCATGCAAAGCATTTTTCAAGCGGACCATTCAAGGCAACATTGAGTATACTTGCCCGGCCAATCAAGAGTGTGAGATAAATAAGCGTCGTCGCAAAGCGTGTCAAGCATGCCGTTTCCAAAAATGTTTGCTGATGGGCATGTTGAAAGAAGGTGTACGTTTGGATCGTGTACGTGGCGGTCGTCAAAAGTATCGTCGCAATCCAAATGCGAATCCGTATCAAATGCAAATTTTCCCATCGAATACAAGCATGCCGCCCACATCATTGGAAGACATTAAAATTTTGGAGATTCTAACCCTATGCGAACCAGATCTATTGAACGTTGTTCCACCAAGCATTGATATGCTTATGTATAACAAAAATCTATCAAGGGATAATATCAGCACTACCGGCAGTAACAGCAGCGATTGTGGCAGTTCCAATGAGAAAGATGCAGACGATAAAAGTGATATTTTTATGGATATGGAACATCGCATCGAAACAGAGATTCAGGATATGCTCAGTGTTTTAAGTGATATTTACGATAGAGAATTAGTTAGTGTGATCGGCTGGGCGAAACAAATTCCAGGTTTGCATTTTTGAAAAAATTAGTTGAAAAACGATTTTTAATTTTTTTTTTTTTCATTTCCCTAGGATTCATTGAACTTCCATTAAATGATCAAATGAAACTGCTTCAAATGACATGGGCTGAGCTGTTAACACTTCAATTGGCTTATCGTTCAATACCGTTTACTGGTAAGCTGGTATTTGCTAAAGATTTTTGGCTTGATGAACGAACAGCCAAAGTTTGCGGAGCAAGCGAATTGTACAATCATGTAAGACAAATTAATATTGAAATAGAATTCGGTGACCTGATTGAAATCAATTTTATATTTTCAGTGCGCTCAAATAGCCCAACAATTGGAACGTCTGTCACCGAGAAAAGAAGAGTATTTTCTACTAAAAGCATTGATTTTATCAAATTGTGAAAAGATACTGGATAATCCGACCGCTTTGATCAAATTTCGTGATTCCATTTTAAGTTCATTGAATGAGTGCGTTTATTTGCTGAGGTAAATTCATTGATTTTTTTTTGTCTTACATTGTTGTTTATGTATTTTTTGTGTCTGTATCATATAGGCAAAATGGAGCCGTGTCACAGCAACAGCATTTACTGCTTATCTTGCCATCGATTCGACAAGCTGAGCAAATTGTGCGAAAATTTTGGATTGATGTCTATCGCAGTGGAAATATAAATATGAAAAAATTGTTCGTTGAAATGCTTGAATCCGTTTCCAAATAGCATCAATACAACAATCACCTCAATCAACTTATTTATAAAAATGCTATTTAAAGCTGAATTGGATGGAATTCACAAGCCATTCTTTGCTGTAAAAGCCGTAAGGAAAACAAATCATCAGCATGTTTTAAATGAAAATCGGTTTTATTACATCCCAATTCGTTAGCACACACAAACACACATACACAAACATAAAATGGATTTTTCACAAAGAGAGTGCACAATCTAATTAATAACTATGAGTACAAGTAGCTTTACAAAAATTGTAAACCGCCCAGATACACATTCAGAATAGTAGCAATTTTAATGAAAGTAACAGAAGAAAAAAACGAGTAAAAATTTAATCAATTTCAACCAGTTTACCATAATCCATGCCAATAGAAGGACAAACTAAAACCTACGTAATCAAATTACGATATATGAAATGGATGTTTTTTGTGTGGTCAGAAAGAGTGAATGAATGCGAATGAGAACCAACACGGGTCAAACAATCAAAGAATGCAACGTCGCATCAAACCTAATCAATCGTTTTATTAAATCGAGAGAAACAAAAAAAAGAAGAAAAGAGAAGCAAAATCAGTTTAAAAAACGAAATCATTAAAACCTTTCAATTATACATTTTATTACTATATGTGTATTTATAAATATAATATGATATTATATTCGTAAGCAATCATCGGAAATTTATTGTTCCTACCATTTTTTCCATTTTTATCTTTTCTCTCCTTTTAGTTTTTTTTTTTTTTTGTAAATCATTGTGAAACATTATTATATTTTTATCCTCTAATTTTCTCTCAAAATAACACAAAAATACAAAAATTTTAAGAAAAAAAAAACATATATTTGTTTTCCAGTTCACAATAAAAATTTATATTAATATAAAATTGGCGCTTTACGAAACACGTTAGAAATTAACAGATTGTTGGTTTTATTTTGTTTTATAAAAACATATCAGGCAATAAATACTGAAATAGAGAAGAAAGAAATGTTTATAAAACTCATCAAGTGTTGAAATGGAATCGCCGGTGACATTGTATCCCATTTTAGAATTTGATCTCAACGAAGTGAAAGATAAATTGTATAATGCATTGAACTTGAGTTGGAATTAACGTCCTTAAAAAAACAAATTGATCATTATTTCACTGTTTCAATTATTTTTCAAAAAAGTTTATCACAAATACAATTTTTTAATGATTTTTTATTACATTTTTTTTGAAAATAAAATGGAAACCATCAAGCAATTTCATTGCAATGTTTATATTTGTGTTAAATGAATGAAACGAAAAGTAGTATATATATATTAAATGAGATTGTTTATAACAAAAAAGGATTATTTTTTTTGAGAATGAGTGATCAAGAGAAAGTCGATTAAAAAAAATATGCCAAAAGTGAGAGATCAATAGGTCGGTAAAACGAAGAAAAGAGAGATTATTATTTTTATGTGGGAAAGAGAGATTACTATATATATTTTGATGAACGGATTAGCTAGATAATGTTGTGAAATGGAAAGGAATTTATATTAATGAACAAAACAGTAGGAAAATATTTTTTTTCGTACTAAACAAATGTCTATTTTTTGGAACTCATTCTTTCAATATATTTGAGGTGTCCACATACAATTTTCAACGGAATTTCATCGCTAAACCAACGCATTTCGAACTCCGATAAATAAACCAACGATTTCCAAATCATCTAATTTGACTAACAATTTCTTAACGATGAAAATATTTACAAACATAAAAATAAAAAAAACCTACCAGAATCACTTCATTCTAACTCAAATTTAAATGTTAAACTTTGTTACAATATCTTCACTGTTGAACTTAGTTGTTAAAAAAAAGAGAACAATATAAATGCAAGAAAAAACCACAAACACAAAGAGCAAAGTAATATTTAACAAAATAACCATAGTAACCTCATCATTAAACATATAGTACAAGAGTATGAAGCGAAACAAAAATCTATAATAGAAAATACCATATATTTCTATTGTAAATAAAAACAATCAAGATCGATGATCGCAAAAACGATCTACACCTGTTTCATAAAGGAAGATTAATATTTTTCGAACAAAATCAAAGTTATTGTAACATAAATTTGATTTGATTCGCAGTTTTGAGGTAGAACTTTATGCAACATTCAACGAAGTAAAATCAGTTTTTTTTCCTGCAAATTTTAAAAATATCTATAATCTATGACATTTTCGTTCAAATTCTTTTAAACTTTTGGTGTTCAATGTTCGACATTTTTTTACATATAAAATCGATCGCTATAGCGAATATAAAATCTTTGTATATTCAGCAGCTAACAATGGAAGAATGAATATATAGAAAAATGAATGTCATTGGATTTTTTTAAAAATTCGGTAAAAAAGAGATAAACACTAAAAATCTTAAACTAAAAGCAAATAATATATTTAATAGCGGGACAAACCTAGATTTTTATTGTTCTAAATGTTGTCATTTAGTCGTAGAGTTTTAGCGCTCAATCGAAGGTTAAAAGAAATGAAGTTTTCATACAATGAATATTTAAATTGCCTTGCTTTTTATTGCAAGTCCCAATTTTAATTCCAAGGTTTATAGAAAATGTTTTATGCATTTTTTTTTCAAATAACGTACAATTTTCTGCAATCAATACACAAAAACGCTGCTTTTTGAATGCCTATCGATCAGCATAACTAGTTTTAGTTATGTAGACGATGATTTGTAATTCAAAAATACAGATTGATTATTCGGCTTTGAGTGTTAGGCACAGGAATGTGGACGGAAAATGCACAACTCCATGCTTTATGGAATGAAAATAACAGAAAAAAATGATTATCTGACAAATATATTGTATAACACTGCTAGCTTTAAGACGAAATTATGAAAAAAGATAATTACCAGCTTAAATTGAACGATCCATCACCATTAACCCAGTGATTTCGAACCACACAATGAAGCAATTTACAAAGAAAAGAAAAATGAAATGAAATCAATGCACTTGATCAATTGATCGGACACTAATTTTTTTCAGAATTCATTTACTACCGTAATCGATAATCGAAATAAATGAAAAGAATTTGTTTTATAGTTTTAGTCATTTAAGTGATATAGTAATAAAACGAAACTAAAGCGTCAATATAAAAATAAATTATATTATATTGATGAAAAAAAATTGTGTTTTATTCATGCATTCATTTTTGATTTAATTTTACTAAAACAACAGCGAAAACTCATAAAAAATCGAATTTTTAACAAGAGAAAAGATGGACCGTGGTCATGACATTTATACATTTTTTTGGAGTCGATTTAATGAATCGTGGTGAATCTACATTGCTTTCTAGTCCCAAAAGCTGCAAATCAAATGATTTAAAATTGGCAACGAAATAATAGAAACCATTCGAGTCTTTATTAAGGCATTGATTAGCCTTATTTTATTTTTCAAATGTTTTTTTTTTTTAATGACTACGCATGCACAAGGTAATTAAACTTATCGGTTTTCTTTGTCTATCGAGTTGACTTTCTTTGCGATAGTGTCTATTTGGTATGATTTAAGGTACGTGACAAAAAAAAAATGTTCCATTTCGAATTCTGTGCTAATATCTAAAAGATCATTATTTTGACTTATATTATTTTGTATCATAATTAAGTGCTTTCATTTTCTAGTGGCCATCAGTTCGTCGGTAGTTTGAATTTGATATTCGCTACAAATATTTAAAAAAAAAACTTAAATATTTAATTGCAACAGAACTTTTCTTACGATTTATATGTATTATATACTCGATTCTCGGTGAGATTCGATTGTTTTAACGTCACATTTATTGTGTCAAAGATAAAATTGCGTTTAAAAAAAAATTGCGCGAAATAACGATATGAAATAAAAGTTTTAGTATGGCTTCGCCGCATCCTTATTCCGTTTCAATTGTACTTTTAGTCTTTTGGAACCAATCTGAAAGCCGTGCATGGCTTGAATGGCCGACTGTGCTGAAGTCGCATTATCATACGACACAAAACCGAAGCATTTTGACAAATTGGTTTGTTTATCAATAAACACTTTGGCCGATATAACATTGCCAAATGGAAGAAATGTTATGGCTAAATCACGATCTGTAAACTCTTGTGGCAAATGGTATATGAACAAATTTCCACCTTCAGGACCTGTGTGTGTAAAAATTCAATCGAATATTAGATTTTTTTCTAACGATTCCGACGTCGTTAAAGTGAAAGTCCACGGAAACAGTTATTACCTTCAATTTGTTTGCCGGCAACCAGCGACGCTGTCGTATTCAGGGCATTTGCAGTACATGATGGAGCATACAGTCCACTGGCGTATTGAGGCAATGCAGCTGTTGTATAATCTTGAACTGACCCTGAAAGAAAACCGTAAATAAGACCGGAAACACGAATTTTTGTGGATGCTTACAAAGTGGCGTTGTTGTTGTACCAAGCTGAGCACCCGACAGTGATTGACTAGACGCAGTTGGGCTTAGCTGTGATTGACCAATACATGCCATTGCAAGAAGATTTTGCATCGAAAGTGGTTGCAATAAGCCAGCATGCGTTGCGGCCGTGGAACCTGTCAGTGGATTGTTCGATGTGTCCAATTGAGCACCATTAAGTCCTGATATAAAAAAATAATATCGAATGTTAGATAATTGAGAAAATAGTAAATGTCTTATTATTCATATAACATTTTCTGTCTACAATAAAACCATCATTTATTGGTATGAGTCAATCGTGATTAGATAAAAAAAAACTTTCAGATAAACTTTGATTTATTTTACAAATCAAGTACCTTGTAGAAGCTGTTGTTGCATTTGTCCCATCGCTTGCATTTGCTGTAAAAACTGAAGCGATGACGTTGACAATGCATCAGCACCAATAAAAGGCATATTACACGTTTGAGGTGGATTCGTTAGAAGTGATGAATTCGATGTCAATGCTGTTGCGTTGGGCATTGTAATCAAACCATTTGCTTGTACTGTAAATAAAATAAAAGTGGTTTGATTTTACGCGCAGCAAAGAAATTTTTAAAAAAGTGAAATACCTGAACTGCTTAATCCAAGATTCATCGGAAGATTAGCGACTGTTGTAGCCGAATTGCCATTAGCACTACTCAATGAATTTGTTATTGAATCGCTGGTAATTGCAACGCCGGGGGAAATAGCAGTCAAACCTGCACCCGACGATGTCGTACCTGTACTTTTTATGGTTGATAATATAGCCGCTTGCATTTGTTGAACTTTTTTCTGTTCCTTTTCTTTTTGTGTATCGGCAAATTTGACGACCAATGGAGCAGAGCACCCTTCCATCGTTTGAGTTTGGTTTAATCCCTGTATTTTTTTAAAAGTATCATCAATTTTTGATTCTTGATTTGAAAAAAATAATGCGTGTCTTACTTTTATGGCGGCCAATGCATTTTGTTTTGTTGCAAATGTAACAAAAGCACATCCCTTGCTTTGACCATTCTGATCACGTAGCACCGTGCATTCCTCAATAGAACCATAGCCAGAAAATAGTTGTCGCACCTCCTGTTCATTGTATTTCTTGCTAAGCATACCAACGAACAGTTTTCGCTCTAAAAATGGAAACAGAAAACAAACAGATATAAATCAGATCGATTAAAACGAATCACAAAATTGAACGACGTTAAGTGTGAAAAGTCACTGTCGTTACGCGTTCTATTTTCAGTTTCATGTAATTGTCGACGGAAAAGCAAAATAATGAAAAACCAATTCAAATCAAATCAAATATAGAGTGAATGGGATGAGAGAAAAACAAATCACATATCACCCAATTGAACGAACATTCTTTTTGTGTCATCAAATTGAAAAACTGGCTAAAAATAACCATTTGCATTTCAAGTGAAATTCCTCAAGCATCGACAGAGTGTATTCCTCAAGCAGTAGACAAGTAAAACCCTAACCACATTATGCGACAAATCCACTAACTGAATACAATCACCGAATTCAATTACAGTTGAAAAATCCGCAATTTGCAACGAGAAATGAAAAAAAAAAAAACAATTTATTCAACACAAATCCAACTTATCACAATTTGATTGGTGATCGTTTCAAGAAAAATTTACGACCTTTTCTCTTTCGCTTAAATAAATCTGTTCTGCACATCAAGCATGAAGAGAATTTCAATTTATCAACTGAAATAGAGTGGAAAACTATTTTGTGCGCTCAATACAAAGTCTTTACACTAAAGTCTTTGAATTTGCAATATTTATATATATTCAAATAAAAAATGCACATCTTTTTCAGTGGTTTAAATGTAAGTCACATTTTATTGGTTGCTTTGTTTTTTAACAACACATTTGATTATTGAATGGCTCGAGCCAATCGATCATTTGGTGAAACTCTGTTCGGGATGTTTGTTTTTCATATGCTTTTCGAACGCTCCGGCGTCCAGAAATTCCAAATTGCAATCGCAAATCATGCGTTTTTTGGAGAAAAAGTCCGGATATCTTTTTGAATTGAAGTTGGTGCGACGTGTATAGGCATTGCCTCGTGGCGAACTTTTATTTCGATCCATCTTCGCTTGGTAATTTTTTCGTTTTCCCGTCTTCGACAATCAGCGAAATGTTGGCGTTTTCTTTTCTTCTTTTTTCCACTATTAACTGGAGTTTGTTCGACTTGTGTGTGCTTCAGTCCAAAGACAAAATGAATCTGAAAATTGCACGATGATTGACAGCCATTTTTATACTTGTTTTGTTTTTATGACCATTGTTATGATTTCTGTGAAAGTGAATTGCCGGAAAACTCAAAAAAAAACACGACACATTAAAAGTCGCATCGACAAATGTACAGTCGTCGCAGTTTAACGATCGATCACAACTGGTAATAAATATTGCAACAGATATTAGTGTCAATATTTTGATTGGTCGTCTACTGTTTATGCAAAACAAGTTGCAATGACTTCTGCGATATTTATTAAAGTGATTTCAATCTGGTGAAATGTGTTTCATTCACACATGAATCATACAAACATTGAAATCAACGGCGATGTTTAATACCACCTTCGACCATTTTTGCAAATATTGTGAATTGCTGATTAAAAACCTACTGAATGTTGACACAAAGTTTTGATCCAAACCTGCCATATTTATTTTGTCAAGATAAAACCCAAAGAACGGCTGATTTCAGTTTCAGAATTGTTTTGTATGAGAGTTTTTCGGATACATACTCAACACGTTATTTTTGCGTGTTAGTACTCAGAAAATGCTCGATTGTTTCATATTTTTCACATGGTTCAGTTTCATCTGCGTTAAACAATGAACATTAACACTGGCAATAAATACAAATATGATAATGAGATATTATGCAATTCATTTAGTGTTTACTTGGCCGTTTGATTGTTTGGTCTGTCAGCAATTGAATTTAAACAAACACCCCTTTGAAATCAATTTATATTTTTCACTAGAAAATGAAACCAAAGACGTTAAATTGATTGAATGAACTGTGCGGATATTTGATGTATGAGTCAAAAAAACCTTTTTTTCTCCATACACTGAAACATTGATTAGCACTTGAGATTTGAAGCAAACTCATTGTTGACTTCGAAAAATATACCTATTCGACCAAAGATTGCAATAAAACTATAGTTTCAGTCAATTGCGGTTTTGCCATTTTGTTTTTCTTATCGACAAGAGCAAAAAAAAACTGATTGAAGTAAAGAGAAATTTTTGTCGTTTTCACACATAAAAGCTCAAGCATTTTGAATTTTCCATGGTTAAAAACAATGGATTACGCCACTTAATTAAGTTACATGGCATTGTATCGTAAATCTTTATCGGTATAAATCATAGGTTAAGTTGTGATTAAATTTACATCACGATAAACAAGTCATTAAGCTACAATCGAAATTACTAGCGAATAGTTTTTTTCTGCATTTCGTTCATTCTTTACGAAAATATTTCAAAACCCTGATTCTCTAATTACAACAAGCAAAGGTCTTAATCGAAACGGAACTCACGAAACACTTGGAAATCGCGAAGACGAAGGGGGAGAGATAAAATGAGATTTTATTTTAAAATATGCATAAATGAATGAATTGAAGAATAACCAAGCACGCACGCATTTTGCATTTTAAATATCCACCGAAAGTTTTATTTCGTCAGCCAATTCCTGTATTTGTTCAACCGATTAGCATGCCGCATAAGACACATACAAAAACTATGGTTTGCGAGCGTGCGCGCGCATGCTTGTGTACACACCTTTTAGGTAATGCTCAAAATGATGTGAATTATTATTATGGTCGTGCCTTTGCGAACCGCTGCGTCAGCACGATGTATGGGTTATACACGTTTCTAAAACTAAATTTCTCATTCTTCGTTCGTACGCAAGTTAATTTACTTTTCGTTTGTAACAGCACTTGTTGGAGGCAGCAAAAACAACAATAATACTAAAAGGCCACGAACAAATAGAGTACACATTGCAACTACAACATCTAGGGAAGTCGTTTATGTTTTGAACGTTTAGTGCCAAATATTTTCACTTATTTATCAACTCACGAATAACATAGATACGATACATTTGACGCGCTCGCAACTCGACGAGCATACACAATACACATATATTTAAATTCGATGATACGAGTAATAATTTCACAACAATGACTACAACAATAAACCAAAACGAATGAAATCATACATATAAGATATTTCGTATACGGACTCTGTCAAAGATAACAGATTCAATAAAAAATGCGAGTTCAAAATAATATGAATGAATGTGGACACTTGTAAGTATAGGCACATTTTTTTATTCAACTCGACCAATTTGCTGAGAAAAAACAAACTTAGCGATAAATCTAGGATAATTTTTCTGATACTTTACAATTGTCAATGAAATATATCGAATAAAAGAGCCCCTGTTCAAAGCATTCGCACAACGTTGAAACCCGTCAAGGTGGCAATTTCGCTGAACCGTGTACGATTATTTCTGATTGATTTGCGATCGTTTTGGATTAGAAATGCCAACTCATCATTGGCAGCCATTTGTGTCGCTAACTTCTATGTGTACCAGATATTGCATGCGATGCATCGTAAAATTCACAAGATCAATAAAAATGCAAAGCGGTTCGAATAAACTACATAAACAAAGTGAATCATACATTTACACAATCGACAGTGTGTGCTTGTATATGTGTGTATGTTATCACGTGAAATATTCCCGATTGAGACAGAAAAAAACCCTCATGCGGTAATATATGAAAACATCAGAATTGTTTTTTTTACACATACGACAAACACTTTAACAAATTAGTGCAAGATATATAAAAAAAAGAAAAAAAAACCAACATAAAAAGAATAAACCAAAACAAAAACAGAAAATATTTCGGGTAGATGTGAAATATACAAAATTGGCGTTATAAACTAAGAATAAATTTCATGCTATTAATCAAATTTGGCCAAAAATGAAAATGATTTTTTTTTTAAATGCAACAAACAAATAAAAAAGAAAATTATCATGATTGTTTTGTTTTTACAAAGATAGAACAACACAAACCTGGTAGAACGTATGGTGTTGGATTAGATGTGGGCAACCAATAAGTTGAGTTAATTGATGGATATGTGACATTCGTTGAGCCCGCTGATACCGATGGCAACGATGATGTTACTTGCTTTGTGCGACTTTTCATTGTTTTATTTTTTTGTTCGCTTTTTTATTAAATTGTAAAAATTGATTTTCTTCAACGACGTTTCAATTTTCTTCAATTTTATCGGTTTAGTTATAAATGATTTTGTATGTCCTTTACTACAAAATTACAGTCAGTTTCGGCCACAAAATGATAAACACGTATTGTGCAGTCGCACTGAACTGCACTGTCGATTGTCTTTTATTTTATGGTTTAATATATGATATACACGTACAGAGTTCACAGAGAAAGCACTACGACACATACAAAAAAAAGAACAAAATAAAAAAGAAAAATATATTTTGTTTGGTGCTCTAAAACAAGTAAATATTTGGATTTTATACAATTCAGATTTTTTTTTTCATAAAATGGAATAAAACCAAAATGAGATTTGATGATTTATGAGTTTTGCATCTATTGCGTTTTTTCGCTATTTCTCTCTCTCCCTCTCTCTCGCTTTTTGTGGGAGATCATTTAAATAGAATTAATTTTGTTCAATTTATGTGTTACATTGAACAAAATTTGAAGCGTGATTTTATTTGATCTGTAGAGAAAAAAAGAAGCTGACCTTATCGAAAGTATACCGGAACGAAAAAATGGCGAAAAACACTTTGAAACTTCAGTAAAAAATGTGTACAATGAATAAAACGAAGAATAAACACGTAAAAACAATTTGAATAGATTAAATGTGAAAAAGGCACCTAATGAACGTTAAAATTTTAATAATTGCGATTTACATACAATTTTCTCTCTCGATTTTTCTTGGTAATAAGTAAATTTTGCGGTTTGGTTCATCGAAAAAATATCGGTAACTGTCGACAAACGGTGACCGAAAAAGTTGAAAATGCTATAAAATGAGAATAAAAAAAACCACACCATCTTTCTTTGTACGTGTACAATTGGAATTTCTCAAATAGTTTACACAGATGAGATGAGATACTATTTTGCTTCGGATAAGACAATCGTCATATAAGCTTTTTTGCAATTGGAATTGGAAATTCGAATTGTTACTGAATTAAAATATGGCACAAATGTTTTTTTTTTTCGTTCTTCGATTGGATGATGATGTGGTGGCATTTTCTCCACATTTCTTTTGTCGATTAAAATTCAAATAGCATTGTCAGTGTTTGACATGTCAACTGGGTTCTCTTTAATTGACAAGAAACAACCTTTTTATTCGTTTCTAGTCAATGACGATAGCTCTAAAAAAAATGGAATGTAAGCGAAAACCGAAAAAAAATTGTAATAATGATGCACAATTCAAACATAATAACAGCTGTGCTAATGATATTTCGTGAGTATTTTCAATTGTTCGCGTGATATTTGCTAGTTGAAAACGTCGCACAAATGTGTCGATAACACAACTGTGTATGGTGCACGGTAATTCGGTTTGAAAATTTATTTTCAACGAATGAAAAATTAATGTGCATAATTCATGGCAAACTTCGTTTCATTTTTTTTCAGTACTATATCGTGTATCGTTTGTGTTGCTTGCATTTTCTTGCCTGTGATTTGATCAATTTCAAGATAAAAGAAATGTGAAGACGAAGCTTTTTGTGCACTTTGATCGCTTCTGTTTCCAACGAAAACAGCGCAATGTCGTCGTTTTCTCATGTACTTTTTCACAAGAGGTGTGATAAAGTACAGCAAAATCAATGCATATTTCGTTTTATTCACACTTTACCTGAAATTCAAATCACAATTGAATATGAAAATTATGCCGCTGTCGCCCACTTTTTCTTTCTTTGCAAGAATCACATAATAATCAAATCATCATTGCCGTTCGCATGACTTTTGTACGAATTTATAACATTGAAATTTTGGAAAATCGTTCCGTGAAAATGGTGAATGCATAGTTTGGCGAAGCCTTACGCCACAAATCTATTCTGCGTCATAAATATGTTGAAATCGGCTAAGTTCACTCATTTATTTGAAATGTAAATTATCAGTTGTACGCATAATGATGGCCATGGAGCTGCTATTGGTATATATGTATGTGGTTGTGTGGCGACAACGATGACAGAAAAATTGAATATTTTTTGACATGGTAATCATCACATTGTGTAGCGCAAAATAAAATAAAAAAAAACGAAATAGAAGTCGATATGGAGATAGAGGGAGACAGGGAGAGAGAGCCGAGAGAAAAAAAATGTTTCAAAACATTCAGAACTTCAGTGTACAGAAAAAAAAATACATTGAACATTGAAGAAGAAGAAGAACAACAAAAACAGACACAGTGAACAACAATAAGCACAATCAAACAGTGTATAACAATGAAAATATACGTACATATTCGGTACGGTCTGATAATAGAAAATGGAAATACCTTTGCTGCGCGCGCTCACTCACATTTACATATTTGAAAATTTATTCTCGACAAAATAAAATAAAAAAATAAAAAAAAACAAAAGAAGTAATTGTAATAAGAGTGAGAGGGAGATAGAGCGATCAGAAGCAAAAATACACATAAAGACACATATGGAATAAAACACAGAAATATTTCGCTTTTTTTCTGTTTGTTCGGACACGTTTATTGTTTCGTGTGCTTATTTTGGTTTTAATTTAGCGCTTCGATAACATTTATTAACTTATGAATCCAACAGTGTTGTGCGTTCGACGTGTCGTCTGTTTCTTTATTTCATTTGAATAAACAAAATGTTAACGATCTACTTTTCTGGTGCTTGATTGCATTTCATTTCTTTTGTAAGCATTTATTGCATAGAATCAACGACGGTCACAGGAGGTGACAGACATATGAAGGAGCTCAATTGCATAAGAATTTCATTTAAATTCCGACTGAAGTGAAAAACAATATCCAATGAATATTTTGATACGTATGCAAAATGTGTGAATGATCTTCTTTTTTATATTTTTTGTAAGTTGATGTGATGAAAAAGAAGCATTGATGACATTGTAAAACTATTCATTTTTTTGTTCAAAAATATAATAAGATTCTAATACACACCATCACACTTATAGTCTCAGTTGGCGTGTTATCAGATCCGTGATTTTTCAATGTATCCAGTAAAAAAAACAGCACCACTCAACACCACATTACTTTTTATGCTGCTTATGCAATTTTCATTAAAAACTGATCTTCAAATAAAAAAAAATCACGTTGCACTAGAAACGTTTTTCTTTTTCAAGTTATGTCACGATACGTTGAATTATAAAGACATTCCGCGAAGTGACGGCGAACGATTCTAATTTACCGGTATTGATGATAATCTCAGATTCGAATGATAGCGAGAAAAAGTATTGACTAGAAGAATCGTGTATACAGCGCGCACAAGTATGCACATCGCACTGCACAAAACGTTGCTGATGATATGTGTGATCGATTCTAGCCACAATGAAATGACTTGAACAGCTTCGGGTGGAACATAAGAAACCGAAAACAAGCACCGATAACGATTCTGTGTGTTACAATTTTAAACTTTACGTTTATTTCACTTTTAATTATTGTCTCTCCTTCTCGTCAGTACTCTGTTTATGTGTTGTCTCTCTATATATTTTTTTTTATATTACGATATAATTTCGTGCATACAAAAGAAGAAGAAAAAACAACAAATGTTTCAAATACGAAGTAAATGATATTGTTCGTGGCATGCTGCTTTTGTTTGTCCACACTGTCACATTGTCGTGCGCGAGCGAATAAGTCAGCGAGCGAACAATTGTCTCTCTGTGCTTCCCTCACTCCCTCAGTGTTTGTAATGAAAATGAAAAGGGACGGATGGCGCACACACGCACAGGAGACAAGATAAGAAACGAAGAGAGACGGAACTAGAAAAAAAATGTACGCAATTTATTTTCTTTCATTTGCATTAGCCAACAAAGCAATCGAAATTTTGGGCTCACTTACACTCTTCTCGCACTCGTTTTATTTTTACTGACATTTCACAATATAATCGCGCCAGACACTGTATTATAAAAATGGTTTATTTGTTCTTCGTTTGCTTATAATTTTTTTTGTTGTTGTCTTTTGTTTTCGTTTCTCCATATCTTAATACCTCAGCATATTGCATTCTTTTCTGATTCTTCAAAGCCGAAATTCTTATATCAACGGCACGGTCTGTGTGTATGTCGTGCATACGTAACAATTTGTTTGTTTTATTTATTTATTTTTTGTTATTATTGGATTCATTCTTTGGTTGTGTTAGCTGCTGCCACATAATCATCATGTAAACGGCACTGGAATGAATGCACAGGTTTATTTCATTTATTTGCTCATTTATTATTTCTTGTGCGCATGTTTTTGTCATCTTATATTTGAATAGTGACAGGAACGTCGAAAATGACAATGAAGAGAAGAGACGTGAAGAAACGTTTTTGATATGTTTGGTGTTCATATAACGTCCACCGAGCGGAAGAGGCAAACGAATGAATCAAACAATTGAGTCATTCAATATGATGTTACCATACCAAAACCAGTTACATTTCAACGAATTTCCCCGAAAACATTAAATGAACCATACGCAAGAGTAATTGATTTTGTGATTGGGCTATTTATTTATAGATGCTCACAAGTACTCGCACAAAAGAAAATAATCGATGAAAATTGAAATCAGATGCACAATCCGAAGACAGAAGAAATTTACGATAAATCTCTTTTACGAGACGACGACTATTGTAGCGACAATACCCAATTTGGCGCTCTTCAATGTATTTTTTTCTCTCATTTCACAAGCCATTAAAAGAAACTGGAAAGAGAAATTGAATTGTTCTATTTTCTAACGTGATGCATCTTCGAATTAAGCGATATGCCAATGAGTGAAAAAAAAAAGACAAACAAAATCACGATTTGTGTTCGGAACAACCATATAAAAAAACCAATAAAATGTTAGTAGGAAACGAAAGATGTGCGCAAACAACATCAAACGCTTTCGAGTCTTCTTCTTGTATCTTTTTTTTTCGTGCTGATGCAGCACAATGTACATTTGCACAGCCACGTACCAAAGTGTGCACTGTCGGTTACATTGTGATTGCTATTTTTATTTCCCTTTCATAAATCCATCACATATCGTCGCTTTTTTCTATTCATACGTGCAACGTAACGGATGGCTATTAACAGTTTACAACTGCTTTATAATGAGACCGCGCGGAACCGCATGGTCAAATCGTCATTTTATTTAGGACTCTCAACAACAATTTCAATCCATTATATTGCACACATCCATTAAATCGAGAGATGCAATCGAAGTGTGGCCACTTCTTAAAATCCGCTACATTTTCATTTCACAAATATTCACCCCGGTTTGAGCAATGATGAACAATTTTGTGAACGAAATTTCACTCAACATTGTAACATTTTTAAAACAAACAACAATAATTAAAAAAAGTAGCTTTGATGACCTCATATCTCACGTAGCACATCAAATCATCGTCGTCATTGAGGAAAACCTCAATTAAAGCACTTTTCATTACATTTTGCAAACAATATTATCGATAGTAAGAAGCGATCAGCTATTAATTTGAGAGGAAAAAATAACAAATCTGATTACACAACAATCATTCTTAGTACTTATTATTTAATAAATGAAAATATGAAAATAAACGCTTTCAAGCCGATAAACTATTATCAAATGTTGATTTTTATTGGTTCTTTTGTTGCTTTTTTTGCAGACTTACTTTGATTACTGTAGTGAATTTCGATTTTTTTTTTCTCAGTCTGCTTTTTCCCAACCACAATCAAATGTTTATTTACGACAACGACGTCGGTTTTGAGTTCTTTGAGTTTGCATAATTTTTGTTTCTAAAGATTATGATTCAAAGAGATTTTGTGTAAATAGTTTGTGTTGATATATTTGTTTATTATTTAGCTTTCAAACTTCATATATGCTTATAGAAAAGATCAAAAAAATAGTTAACCTAAGCATGAGAGAGAAAAACATCGTACATTTTGTGTGTGAGTGTGCGCGATCTGCAAATAATTACAAAAAGCAATCGCTTCGAATGTCTCTATGGTCTCATGAATGAGCATGCCTAATGTGTTCGTAATTCCAAACCGTTTGCCACTATATACGCCTATGTCGCGTTCGAACTCGGCGAATGCATGTGACCGATTGTATGGTAAAGTGTGTCACTTGTTGCTTGTTTATTTTTTTTTCTTCTCTCTACTTTATCGGCAAAAATGGAGAAAACCTAAACAAGAATGTGCATGGTTCACGTTGTCTATCTGTTGAATATTTTTCAACCTGTGACGAACCGTACGAGTGTGTGTCGGTGCATGCATTTATTTTACTATGTTTGTCGCTACTCTTTAGCGTGTGCAGTTTTTTTTCTTCATCCGTTTTCCAGTATCATGTGTAAAGTTTTGATGGAATTTTCGATTTTAAGCGAACATGCGATGCATCCAGCCACAGGCCGGACAGAGAGAAATAGAGAAAAATTGGCAATAGGTCTATATGTGAATTGGGTTCATGACTATTTCGATTTTGATTCAGAGTGCAAAACTTTAATTTGTGTGCATGTCTGTCTCATCAATAACTGTGCGTGTATGTAATTTAATTTGGAGTTATTCAAAACAAACACAAATCTCAAATTAGAAAAAAAAAACATAAAAAAATATACAGGGTTAAAAAAAAGACGTTTGCCCATAGATTTAGTTACAAACCACGTAAATACATTGAAAAGAACACATTTAAATAAATTGTGAGATACGATTTTTTTTCCGAGGTGTGGACGGGTTACTTACGATTATTTCAACGTGATAAATCCAACGTGGTCATTTCGATGCAAATTTGTGATCGAGGTTAAAATGCAGCTGTCGAATGTTTTTGCACCCATTTTTGCAATCAAATGCATCATAAACTAAATTCGGAAATGCAAATTCACCACTTTTTTTCGGTTTTGTAAGGGCTTTTCTTTCTATATATAATTTTTTTTAAACAAAAAATCACTTGATCGAAATAATACTCATGCCAAATGTTCACAAAATCAAACTTCGTTCTTTTTCTTGTATTTTTTTTATTACCTCATTTTCTACATACACTCAAGCGCAGCAAAGAAAAACAAGTGAATTAAAATCGATGTCGATGTTTAGCTTAATATTTTCTTCGCCCAATATTTTTATGGTCAGATCGTTTTGCAATAAATGTATATTTATTTCCACAATGCAAAAATATCCGACCGCATCCGATTGATTCAACACGCGAACTAATCTAACGAACGAACGTACAAAAAAAAAGAGTATATATTTTGTGCGCGATCGTAAGCGCCTAGCGCACACAAACACCGAATATTAACTTGGTTGGTTTTAGTCACATGAACACTTTTGGATTTGGAATTGCAATTTGGTCGGGCGGTGAGCAGAGGGAGAAAGAGAGCCTGTACACAAGTGAGCGACACATAACTCTATTTGAAAAACGAAATAACAATAATCACAGTGTGACGGTGGCGAAAAGCGAGAGCGCGAAAGAGAAAGACGAAAAAATAAATGAAAAAAAAACTATTTAAAAAAATGTGTACACAATCAAATGAGCGGTCGGTATGTAAGCGCGAATGCATACAAGTCACAAAGCACAGGTAAATCAAAACGGTGTGTACGCTGCGGCAAATCGCCAACTAGTTAGGTGTTCGCTCTTCGTTTGATGCAATTGATTTAACCATTGCTTGGCTTGAAGCGGTTAGAATCGTAGTACGTGTGCAGTAGCAATAATATAACGGCCAACCGAACCCCGCTCCAAAAGTTACTTCATTCACTCACTCGCTCGCTTCAGCTATTCACTTTTCCAATCCGAATATACATTTTCAAATAAAAATACTAGACAGACAGAAAATAATAAAAAAAAACAATAGACTGAAACGAAGTAAACGAGGTGCTCAGCGAAAAAAAGAGAATACACTGCGGTGTCGGGTTGGACACAATCAGAATCAAAAATCCAAACACATCATTTAACAGTTAAACACACATAAACGACACTGACTGTTGTGATCTATGTGTTTGTGTGAGAATGTACTTGTACAATGCTTACTACGTTCGCGTTGCTACTGTTCGAACGGACCACCATACTCATACATTTTTGCTTAGGCGGCACATTTTTTCGAAAAAACAACAACATTTTTTCTCGTCTTTTTCATTTGACTTCTTCGATCTAATGAAACATAGTTTACATTATATTTGTTTGTGCAAACATCGAGACGACATAAAATTCAATTGAATGAAATTTGTGCTAATAGTTTTCCTTTCGATTGAAACGTGTAATTATGCAAAAGTTCGTTTGAAATGAAGAAAAATAAAACGAAAAAGTGAAGTGACAAATTTTATTGAGAATATTTAAATTTAAAATCTATTTCCCACTCCTGACCATCGATTTTTTTGAATTTTGTGTAAATGATGAAAGATTCAACGATGGCGTTTGTAAGTGGCGCCCTCTTTACTTCCACGATATTCAACACTGTAACTACTTGGCATCATCACCGGTGAAGTTGTTGTGACTCAACGGAAAAGTGTCAATTAATATCTTTTTAGCGATAGATGAATGTTTGGTTGTGTGTATTGTTGATTTTTTGCGTTTGTTTTCGTCGTTGCTGTAACATTTATTGTTCCGTGTCATTTTCTTTAACCAATCAACGTTGTACTCGTAGGTCATAAGCTCACGTTTCAATTGTTCAAATATAATTGAGTTCATATACACGTTAGATTTGGTGGCACGGCACTATTTTTTTTGCATTCATTTCAAAGTCGTTTCATTATTACATCAGAGGAAATGTACAATATCAAACATCAAGATATGTTGAGCGTCGGAATCTTAATTTTGTGTTTAATGGACACAAAAACCATTGGCGCGAACGATGTTTATTCGCAAAAAGAGTTTACAATTCAAGTAGAACCTGGTGACATAGCCTGTTTTTACGAAAAAGCAGTGAGGAATCAAATAATTGACTTCGAATATCAAGGTATTTCACCAAAATTAAACCAATTGTACTTAAAAGTACTTGAATAATGCAATAAAAAATGCACCAACTTCTTTTTCAAGTCATTGACGGTGGACATGGTGATTTGGACATATCCTTCGAGCTTCAAAATCCAAATGGTCATCCGATTATTACGGAGTATAAGAAATCCGACAACATTCATCGGCTGGATGCAAATGTAGACGGAGATTATAAATACTGTTTTGATAATTCATTCAGTTCATTTAACACGAAAACGGTATTCTTCGAACTAATTATCGAATGGGATGGTGAGCATGGCGAAGCTGGTGGCCGTGAAGATGATTGGGGCAAGGAAGTTTTGGACAAAACCATACCTGATGAAATCTTAAAAGAAAGGGTTTGTTGAATTACACTACTTTTTGTCGCTTTTTTCACCGTTCAACAATATTAACTTTGTTCTCCACAAATTAGCTCACCGAGATGCAAGTGACAATTATGAAGCTGCATGATCATTTGAATTCTGTGCAACGCACATTGGATGCGAGACGATCCACAGAAGCACGTGACCGTAATCAAGCTGAAGAGAATAATTTCAAAGTGAGCGCATGGTCATCATTCCAAATCATTATGATGTGCATTGTTGGCTCGATTCAAGTTTACATGTTGCGCAGTCTGTTCGAGACAGACCCTAGGGCCAATATTTGGACAAAACTCAAGTTCCTTAAATAAATCCAATTTAAACATAAAAATCCAAAAGAAGAGAATGCGAAGAAGACTGAAAAACTAACCATCTCAATCACTCGCAGGGCTCAAATTTAAACTAATTTTACCAATAGGAGAGGACCTGATCTATGCCAAAGACCGTTTGAAGCGCGCTCAAATCTCATTTAATTAAGATTTACACCAAGCAAACAAAACATGTAGACGAAATTGAATTCTTTTTTTTTGTACACAAAACTTTTTATCACGAAAACGGGTTTGAATGAAATATGGTGTGAGTGTGTGTATAACATAATAAAAAAAAACTAAATTTAAAACAAATGCTATGAATACTTATGCAAAAACAACGAACGCTTCGAAAATAATGTGCACCTTTTTTACAAGAAAATATCATGTTTAGCTTATGGGAAATTCTACTACCCGTGGCATCATGATCACTACCATTCCAATTTGTTCTTACGTTCATTCTGTATTGAATATTTCTCAGAAAAATTGAATAATTGAAAAAGCTATCTCTGCATCTTTGATTAAAACCATGTTTGTTTGAATGTGTGAATAAATTTTTTAAAGAAAAAAAACATTTTATTGATTTTTTATTGTTTCTGTAACAATTTACTGACTAAATCTAGCCGTAGTGATAGTGTTAATATGAATGCTTCACTTTCTCTTCTTTTTCGATTTAACCGGTTGTGGAATTTCTTCTTTATGTGAGTTACGTGTGTAACGTTTAACATCACGACGTTTACGCAAACCAAGATCCTTGGATGTTGCAATGATATTACGTTTCTGCATGCTCTTGTATCGATCTGTAAGGATGCTTCCGTGAGGCGTGATATTCCGTAAATTGCCCGATATTTCCTCTGGCATGTTGATATCGATTTCTTCTTCTTCAAATGAAAATTTGCTCAAACGATGCGGTTCTTCACGTTTTTTCTCTTCGCGTTCCTTCTTTTTCTCACGTTGATCGTTCAATTCTTTTTCCATCACCTTAATTTCGGCTGTTAATTTCTTCAACCGATGCAAATCTGCCGTTTGTTTCTTTAATTGTTTCTTCTTCTGTAATGCCAACTGTAATTCACGTTGTTCTTTTTGCTTACGACGTGCTTTTCTATCCTTTCGTTTCACCTCAACCGGTGGATTAATGGCAATATATTCATCGTGGTCGGAAACAATTTCATTGGTCTCTTCATCATCGAGGCCGGAACGTAGCTCGTTGAGTTTGAATGTGTCACGCTCACCGCTCGAAACTTTCTTGAACATTTCGGTGGTGACCCGATTCAAATGATCTTCTTGTTTGATTATTTTCAATTCACGTTCCTTTACTTGCTCAAGCAATGCCTGATGGTCTTTTAACGATGGATTGTAACTGGTGCCAGGATGTGGCACTTGTACGGCTCTGTAATTAAATTCAATGCATTTAGATAACGAAGCAAAAAAAACCGCAAAAAAACCTTACTTTAGTTTACTGCGTTTGTGAAAGGCTGATGATGGCACCGAAACCACCGGTGTTCCAGTGTTAACAATATTATGTGTGACAACATGATCCTCAATCCAATCGTTTTTGAAATCAGTTCGTTGCTCGGCCGCCGTCCCCATTTCCCATATGTCTTTATCAAAAACTGCCTGTTTGTTTGCTTTTTGCTTGGCCGCAGCTGCTTCCAGTGAACGTGCCCGATCGCTCAACGATCTCAGTACTTTTTTCTTTACAATGCCCTTTGCTTCATTGGCTTGCTCCAGACTTTTTGCAATGAAATGTCTACGCTCTTCTTTTGTTCGGACACGATTTCTTTTGGCTATTGGATCTGACACTTTCGAATCGTTTAACAGCGATGCAAAACATTTTGGCGTCGATTTTAACAGTTTCTTTCGCTTCTCACGCAATGTCAAACCAATTTTCTTCTTTTTCTTCTTCAGTGTGGGCTCTGTGTCGACCACAAACAATTCATCGTTTGTTTTATCCGAAACTTTACTGTGGATGGGACAAATGGAAAATGTAAAAAACAATGTTCAAAATCAAAGTTCAATTTGGTTTACCCCATGCGTTCTTCCAAACGCTGATCCTCCAAATAGTTGTCCACATCTTGGTGTTCGATCTTTCGCCATGATCCCTTTGTCTTTTTCGAAAGTCGTTTCTTTACTTGTGTCATTTTGATTTCAATTTAAAATAAAACTCTATTTTAAAAATAATATTCAAAATAAATCAGAGACTTTATGAGTCGTGCTTATTTGTAGCACGTTTTTATGTATTAAGCGAATGACATATGAATATGACATAACCTCAAATTATCATGTGTGTATTTGACATTAATACGCCGTGGTGAGTTCACCAACTGTCAGTCATCCTTTTGGTTTTCATCTGCACACAAACACTAAACAAATCGGCAATATGAATTTTATTTGTGTGAACGGAAAAGGCCAACTCGAACGCATTGTTTAGTCAGAATTCAGCTGGACAACGACGAGCAAGCTTAGGAGAGCGACACATTACACAATCACATAGTTCATTCAACTGTTTATTTAACTTACTAAAATAAACGTTTTTTTTTTCTTTTTAAAAATTTGATATCCCATTAAAAGTCAAACACCAAAATTTAAAACACATTTAAACTGTTTAAAGTTCAATAAGATACATTGAAAATGACACAGCTTGACGAACTGTTTGAACAAATTGGTAAATTTGTGCTGAAACAAGCAGATTTCACGTTTATGCGTGCACAAACCATCGTGAAACAGCACACTGAAAAATTGTCACAGATTGGTGATATTGCATTTCCAATCACTGTGCAACCATGGTTAAATGCCATCGAAACCAATTCGGCTGAATCCAGAAATGATTTGAAGCAAATTATCAACGAAAGTGAAACCGAATTTGCACGAAAATTGTGCGAAGCCAGTACAGAATGGATGTTCCACATCGAAATGGTGAAATTTTCCGAATTTCGATGTTTGTTGTTCCTCAATCGGCCAAAATGTTACAGCGACTTTTTAAAAACGGTACTTTATGACGACGCATCATATGGTCAATGGCATCATCATAACACAAACGATGATAATACAAACTACGCAGTTGAAGTGGTCAAACAATCGAACGACAATAGTCTGGTTGCGCACAGATTACAGCTCATCACAAAGGTGCTGATCAATTTATTGCGGAGTTCGGGCTTTGAAGCGAACGCAGCAAAATTCGATGTGAATTCACTCGAAAACAACAATTTGACCGAAGTTCTGGTAAAATCAGCAAGGAGAGATGGTGGCAAAAGAGCAAACAGGCAAAGTGAATTGGAGCTCAATAACAACGCCAACCGAAAATCCATCACGATTATTTGCGGAAATGTAACAATTTGCAGACCAGGACTCACCGCTGACGATTTCATTCGGTAAGCATCAAAAACATATACAATTTTGATGAAAGAAAATCGATTTAGAAGAACAAAAAATTATCTCATTAGACTTCGTTCATTGGAAATGGAAAAAACGGCTGAATTGAAACATGGCCACAACAAAGAGAACGTTATCATCGACAAGTGTCAGAAATTGGGTGCGGCTACTGTTACATTTGATTTTTTGAAAATCAAACATTTCAATACCATCAATTTTGAGAAATCGATGACAACACCATCGACAATCAAAGGGGCTGCATTCATTTTGTATAACGTTGCACGGCTACAAACACTCTTGGCATCGTTTGATCATCAGGTTGCGAGAGGATTCTATGATCCGTTACCAAAGTTCGACCAAATTGATTTTGGATTGTTGAAAGAAGAGGTTTGTGTTGATTTTGCTTTATTCATTCCTTTTCAATGCATTTGATTGTTTTCAGTTCTGAACGAGTGTTTTGACTCACTTTCTCTCTCTCTCTCTCTTGTTTTTTTTTATGCCATCACAGGAGGAATGGCAGATGTTTTTCGTGTACATTGTCGGATATCCCAATCTGTTGGAACGCTGCATCAGCGGAATTGGAACCGGCAACATTGCCATTCATTTGCTGTGCACATTTTTGAGTAACTTATCTGCCTTGTTCAGCGTTTATTATCATCGTGTCAAGATTTTGACGGTAAATATAAAGCGCTGTATATAAAAAAAATTGTTTTACACAAAATTGTTTGGAGCATGGTGTTCAAATTTTTTTTATGCTGTTCAATGAAAATCAGGACAATTTGCCGCAACTGGTACCGGTATTGTATGCACGGATCTATTTGTTGAAGGCGCTACGCAGCATTTTCCTCAAAGCGTTGGCAATTCTGGAAATCGAATCACTCGATCAAATGTAACGTGGTGCTGCCACTACCGACCCACCCACCAAACGACCAAATACGACTAAAATATCGTCATAATGTAAGAACAATCATCTGTTGAAAATGTGCCTTATAAAGTTTAAGTGTTAAAACACAAATTAAGTCATATCCGATTAATTCAACTAATTTAATTGATAAATTAAATTCAAACATGGAGAAAGTAGGTTTATCTTCAATCTGTGATTAAGATATTAGAAAATACAAAAAAGCGAAAAGCTATTGAAATAAGGTTAATTCAAAACCTGATCGCAAAAGATCAAAAAAGTCTGAAATGAATCTCTAACAAAGCTATATGCCAGAGCATTTATAATAATCAAAGTTAATTTTTATTGTTTACCTTTTATTATCATTATTTTTTTAAATGTTATATCGCACATTGAAATCAAAAAAACAGATCATCATGTGTAATGAGATACTACTCAGAGATTCGTGCGCATGAGTTTAGAGAACAAAAATCCGAAAGAGAAGAGATAGAGTTAAAAAGTCCTTATATGATGATGAAATTCACGAATTTCAGTATTTATTCATACAAATGTCATTTTATTCAAGCATGAAAAAAGAACACATTTAAGGAAGAAAAGTTTATAAATAACAAATAAAGGCAGTTTCCATAAATATTATGAGAAAAATTGGATTTGGGATGTTTTATTTTGGATTTAATTCACGGACTTATCATGCATCATTTTTTGCGGCTTTTATTCGATTCTTGGCAATGTTTAGCATTTGTTGGCACGTAGCACGAACTGCAACAAAGAAAATACTCAAAATAATAAGAATAATTCAAATTGGCTCGATTCATATAAATAAACCTTGAACAGCGGCTCCTTGTGAGATATGTTGAGTAACTTGTCGTTCTAAAATCGCTTGTTTTGATTGGGCAGCTGTATTTTTCACATGTTTCACGTAATAATCTTCAACTTGTGCCTTAATATCGGATGAATTGGTTACATTTGCTTTATCGATGATAGATTGAAAGGCAACCTTTCGACAATTCCGTCCAATACGATCAATGACCGCTTTGAATGCATCATATCTTGCTTCAACCGTATCGTGGCTATCGATTGCAAGCGTAAGATTTTCGGTGATACGTTTCACTTGATTCTCGGCTGAAATTGAACGCGCTTTGATGATGGCCGTTGTAAATGATGGTGTGGTATTTTTTATATAAATTAACTGAATGAAACAGAGAAAAAAACAAACAAACACAAATACACACAATTTCGTTTCATTTTGAAAATGGTTTTAGTTTATTATTATTTTTTATCGAAAATAGATTCTTTCATACTTGAACGATGAACGAAGTTGCTATAATCAGCGATAATTTTGTCATTTTCACAAGTGTATTTTGTTTTGACTACAATCGAACAATAAAAAGTTATACCGTTTTCAAAATCATAGACTGACTTTATCGAGAACAGTTTCAAGCGAACGCACCAATTTAACTAAATTAAAATTGCAATTGCAATGCCTGTTTATATGGCATCCACACACCATAATGCATGATAAAAATCATGAATTGCCTATGTGCTACATGAATGTCTGTGAAGTTCAAGTGTATGTAATGCACAGCATATAAAGAAAATTTATTCTAACCCATCATAGCCAATAGCATGGTTGGCATCGACATACAGACACATTGTGGTTAATTCTAAAGAAAGTTCTCTCACATTCACATGTAAATGTGTGCATCACACGCATAATATGCTGTTCACAAAAGATCGTGCATATACCGGAATCTTTTTTGCAGCAGCAGCACTTGATTAGTAACAATAAACTTGTTTGTTTTCCGTTCATTCTCTGTGTAATAAAAAAAAAATCATCATCACGTTTGTTTTTTGTTCTTTTTTTTCCATTTTTTTCCACACTGACAACTGAGAGTGTAGATCACATCGCAGAGTGCGATGGGAATTCTTTTGTGTTTGTTTTGTAAGAGTGTGTGAGATTGATTGGAATTGAGATGTTTTTTTTTTAAAGCAAAGAATCTCGAGCGTGCTCTCGCTGATGTCGTTTAACGTGCATAAACTTGTACAATGTGATTGGTTTGTGAGAGAGTTTGCAAAAAGAAATTAATCAACAAACTTGAAAGATAAAATTGAATGCGCTGAACCTGCGCTTTTATCGCTGTTTAATCTCTTTCAGTCAACAGCATCAAACTGAATGAATGATATTCAATAAAAAAATCAATGCAGGCATTATCAATGTTTTTTTTTCAGCAAATACATAAAGCAGAAGAAACGATCTTGTGAATATTAATTAAAACAGCTTCTTTATTTTATTTTTTCCCTTCGATCTCATTTTTTCAGACACTTTACACGTTAATTATATTTCACCAAGAATCCTATGATTAGCGAATTGGAGTGATTTAATTATCGAGAGAAACTTTTTTTTTTACAACGTAAAACCAAACATTTGATGGCAAAGTGCATTCGTTGCGACACCAGCATTTCTAGCGATTGGTTCGGGATTTTGATTGTCGAAAATGGCCTGTCGATTTTGTTTTGGATAATTCTTTATATGATTGTCGTATAGAGTTTTTAGCCGTTCCAGTTGCTCTGATTTGTTTGGCCTATTGGCAGCAGCAATTATTTTGTGAACTTTTTCATAGCATTCATCGTGATACTGTTTGATGGTGTATTCAAATACTGCATATCGTGATTCTTGCAGACCGGCCGTTAATATTTTTAGTAGAAGACTTTGAACGCGCTGCTCTTCATCTATTTCACTTGGATCATCGGCAAGTACCTATTTTTATTAGGACAGCAAATAGTTATTTAGATTTAAAATTAAATTTGGTCGAAAATTGCACAAGACACAGAAATACAGTTTCTAATTTCTTTAAAGACTGTAATCAAACAAAAAGCAGCAAAAAGTGATACTTACTTGGGAGTAAATTAGAAAAATTGTGAAAGCAATCACTGTTGGTGCGAGCATTGCAAACATCTTCTTGCAACCACTTCAATCAGAGACAACCAACTGAATGAATTGATCAACGATGAAACAATCAACTGGGCGTATTTCTAATTATCAATACTTTTTCGAACTTGTTTGGAAATTCCACACTGCAAATAATACCTTTTTTATTCAGACGCAATAAAAAAACCAGATGATTTAATAATTCAGGGTCATACTAGAATATTAATGATCTTTCTACGATTGAATGGTTTTTATGCAAGAAATCCTAAAATGATTCACTTTTTTTAAAAAAATGAAACGTTGGACTCAGTCTTTATTGAAAATTTGAGGTAATTGGAACCCTTTTAAGAGTGAACTCTCACCGTAGTAATAATAGTTGGATTTGTTACTTTAATTCATTATTTTCATGTGCAATTACAGTAACTTCATATTATTTAAAAAAAAACTTCAAACCAAGTGCATCTTGTTTTGACATCGCATCCGTGTGGTATATGAAAAATTGAAGATCTGTTAATTCGAACTTTATAAATAAATAAAAAATCCATATATTCTTATGAAACCGAGTAACATACTTGAATAAATTTTCTCCGTTAAAAAAATGTGTATTTACAATAGTTCCGGTAAAAATTGCCTAATGCAAGGAGTTTATTTGATGTGTTCAAATTGAAGTGCTTAAATAAGATTTGAATTCTTATTAGTCAGTTTATTTAAGAATTCAACCATTTACCTTTTATCAATCGTTGATTTTAATATGTAAAGATGAAATACAAGTTTTCTTCGAACATAAATATTTGTTTATTTCTTGTGTGTGTTTTTCGTTGAAGACAAATGTCCCACCAACGTTCGGTGTTTGCATAAAAATAGCTCTGAAATGTAAAGAGTATGCGTGTTGACGATGTCATAGCTAACAATTCATTATTATGGAATATCAGCTGTTCAACGTTCTCACGTCCAAATATTACCAACAATATTCTCATTTGTGTCGCATTGTGTGGTCAACGCTTTCGTCATTGATTTTTGTTTAAAAATAAATAAAAAACTCCACTCGGATACATACACTTATAGTTGTGTAGAAGCGAAATCGTCTCTCTTATCGTTTGTGTTATTCATTTCGATGTAAGTCAACCGCACAGGCACACAATCAAAGTTCATGTAACGATACATCGGCAAAGTAACGACCACATTTAAAACGTGCCAAACAATTTCAAATACTATGGATCCCCTTTATTGTGATAGCGCATGGAAATGTGAGCACTGTGTATATAATTGAGGTTTTTTCATAAAGTTCATTCATTCATTGCTCATACAGTCAAGTGAATCAGATGATTTTGGTTTCCAATTGAATATAGTTGAATTAAAAGTGAAATTTGGATTAAAAAAACCTTAAGGAATTAAAACAAAGTAGCAAAGAACAATTCAGTTAAATAAACCTTGAAAAGTATGGAAACGAGTTTTTTTTTTAAATTCATAATCTTAATGCTTATCGAAAGCAATAAGTGTTAAAAGCATTAACCAATTCTTATTGTAATATTTAATATCGTGCATTAGAATTAGTTGAAATTCAAATAATGTTTAAGAACTTTTCCGTTTCCTTGATTTTTTTTGCAACTTCCTACATGCTTAAGTTAATGCCATTTGATTTTTATATCGAACGATAATAGAAAAAGAAAATATGAGCGCGACCCAGCAATTACAGCCACACGGAAAAAATATTCCACGCAGGCAAGCCATTCCGATTCTTTACACCAAAGGGACTCACTACGACGTTGGATTCGATGTGGTAATAAAATTAAATTCATTTTTTTGTAAATATTAAAAAATTGGCTTAAAGCTGGGCTCGAAGTCAAAAGTATAAAAACAAAATGAAGATATTTCTTTATCTGATCATAAAATTGCTTGATAAGAGACAAAAATACTTTCCATTGATAAGAAATTTATAATCCAATGCAAACCCGTACACAATTTATATTGTGAAAAAAGTTCGAATTTTAATTAAGAGCAAATTTCTCTTTTACGTGCAATTCGTTTGCGATTCTACTGTTTTCGATCTCATGCAAATGTGTTTTTTTTAAATTCAAAATGCCTTATTTGAGTAATTTGTTTTACCACATTCAGGTATTCAGAAACAAAATCCAATTAAAAGAAGCGCAAAATTGGCTTATCACCGTACAGTGGAAACTGTACAAATGCATTTAAATTCTGCGTCGCGTTCCAAAATGATTAAGTAAAACTGCATAATTATGCAGCATTTTGTAGACAACGAATTCAAAATATAATTAAATTGTTTCACAGCCAATTGTATTTATCAAAATTTAAATTTTAAATTTTTGTAATAATTCAGAAACATTTATATTTTACAAATTAAAAGAGTTATGCGTTTTGACTTTAATATCTTCTATATAAATCAAAATGAATTAAACAAACATTAAACAATCGGGAGGCGATATGGAAAATACCTTTTTATTAAATTAGTTTTTTAATCAATTTTGATGTTGATCTTTGTTGTCCTCGATAAGTGGAACATGATTGTTTGACCCAAAATTGAATGTACTCATTATTGAAAACATGAAAATACTCACGCAGAAGCAAAGCAAACGATATGACGGTGACAACCAATTTTCCTTTCATTTTCACGATTTTTCGAATAAAACTACACACACTTTTGCTCTGGTCACAATAGATTCAAATCCAAAAAAAAAAAATCAACGCATATCTGATGTAGACGTTTATTACATTATTATTAAGTTTACAATAATTGTAATTAGCAAACACAGCAACAACGTCGAAAAATACGGAGAAGATGATGAAAAACAAATAAATAAATAAAAATGTAGAAAACAAAACGTTTTTAAATGCCATAATTGAATAATGGTCTTTGTTCAGAGACATACGGTGTACAATTGTACATACGCAAGAATAGATGCATCTCTATGGAGAACTTGAACATGATTTTTGTTTCTGTTCGTTTTGTGGTTGACAAATTCAATGAGCGCTTAAGTTTTAAATTACATTTCAGCACACTGTCATCAATTAATACACCGAGAATTGTTTATATCGTTTTGCCGCGGAGATGTGGTCATTATTGTGGTTGAAAAAAGACGAAGAAAAAAAATTTAAACATCAAGGCAAATCAATGAAAGAGATTCGCCGCGTACAATGTCAAAAAATAAAATTTATTTCGTGTGAACAACGAACGAGAAATGCATCTTTTTGTATTTTTATTTGAGAAATTGAACTTAATACTGATTCGTTTATAATTGCAGGGCCGAACGTTTGCTGCATTGATAAAAAGTTTCTTGGAAATTTGCGGTCCACTGAACAACGAATATTTACCTTTATACAAAACAGTGAAAGGAAGTTAGTTTAATCAGAAGAATTTTTTTTTTTTTTGCAAAAAGATAATGTAAATTTTTTTATTAATTAAAATTTAAAAAAAATCAGAGGCAGTGTACGATGAAACACTTAACAGTGTTAAAGAATCATTTCCACAGTACATACGTGAACTTGAGGGAGTTGCTCATGGTGCTGGTAAGTTCGAGTTCATAGTAAGCTAATTATTTTTCAATTATAACACATTGACACTTTTTAATTCGAACATGCACACCATAAGGAGTTGAATTTCATAAGGTATTTATCGCCAAAATTGAACAAATTGATTATACATATAAGTGCTTGAATTATAAATTCATGCAATAAAATCATGACGACTTCTTTTAGTTGTTTTTACTTCACATGGACGACATAACACCAAATGCTACAAATCGCTTGAATAGTATTAATCAGCAGCCCATTGGATGTTCAACAATTTGTGTAAATCAACCAGATTATGTGAGTTGTCGCTGTGTTGTATTCAATCGAGTTAATTAAACTATATCACCATATTCGTAGGAAATTCTTGCTCATACCGAAGATGCCCTTCAAGAGACTCTTAATCATTATTACCTTGTATCGGCGCATATTATCGAGCCGAGCCCACAAGGAAAGCATAAGGTCAGACATATCATTCACATTTATATCCAATAACCAAATTAAAGCGATAAATGTAACCATTTTAGGTGTCAGAAGAAAGATTCACTTCACTTTGCTATCCAGGTCATTTACCTGGCTACACGATGGGCTATAACCACCATGGTCTTGCCTATTCAATTAATACATTGAGTGCAAAAACATTATACAGTGGAAAAACACGTAAATATATTCATTTGAATGACTAAACTATTCAGTATCTCTAACAAAGTATATAAAAAATGCGTTTTTAATTAATTTAATGACTTTATCGATTGAAATTTACGACACGCGAACAAATGAAAAACATAAATTCCACTCTGGCGATAAATGAGACAAATCAATATCACCGTCATACAAATGAATTCAAACCGCATTTTTGTTTTTGCACCGATCTTAATGCAATAGTTTGCATTTATTCGCCGTTAAATTAGAGTATTATTGCTAAAATTGGAAACTGATAGCACTGATGTTGGATTTTTCAACTTTGAATATTCACAGTGTACCCTAGATTGATTGACATAGAATTTCTATCCATAATTCAAATTGTAACTGATTTAATCTAATTTCTCTCTTGATTCTCTTTTTTTGTTCTTGTGCAAACAACAAAATCAATCTTGTACAAATAACAGCGCGGCATTTTATCACACGAGCACTGTTAAGTGCACCAAATTTTGAGCAAGCGCAAAAGATTTTACGCGATACCGGCGTTGGTGCAGCGGATGGTTGCTCTATTAATCTAACATTTTTGAAGTAAGAATCAATCAAGATTTTCTTTTCATTTTAAAATGAAACTTTTTTGTGATAATAAAATTTCGGTTCGATAAATTTGAAGGCAAGAAGGAGATCGTTTATTCCATAATATTGAAATGGGTCCAGCTGCACCGGGTGAAAATCAATCACAATTGAATATTTTTACTGCCAGCCGCGGTGAAAGCATCGTACATGCCAATAAGTAAGGGCCAACACTTTGAGATTCAAACCATACAATTATTTATATAAAAACATGTATATTTCATAGATACTTAAGGCTTCCCATAGAAGAAGTCGATGGAATGATTATTGATTCAAGCACTGCACGCCATGAAGTGTTTGATCGATTAGGTAAACCAAAGACCAAAGGGGATGCAATAAATATGCTTGGCGACCAAAGCGGAAAAATACACACTGTATTTCGTGAAAATGGCGGCGATGAATATGTTAAGACCATCTCAGTTGGTAAGGATTTGATGAGAGAAATATATACGTTCCGAAATGAAAACCTAATTTTTTTTCATTTATTACAGGTATCTTTGATTGCAAGAAACAAACATGGAGCCTTTACTCTGACAATCCAAAAAATAACGAACCGCTTGTTGTATTGCCCTTAGTGTTGAAATCATAAGAACGAAAAACGCAGGTGCATCGTTTAATATATTTCACACATATCAAGAGCTTATTTTTCTTTTAACCATATATTTAAGAAACTTATCTCCGTTACTGCAATGATTATAAATTTTAACCATTAATAAATACTATACTATGGAATTGAATGAAAATGCTAACCTATTATTATTATTTTTAAATAATATTCACAAAGTATATCTTTTTCAAAGCGAGCAGATTGTTTTTCTAATGAGGGTTATGGTGACAAAAACGTGCAATTATAGAATTGTATTCAATCATGCAACACGTATTGATTATTACTGTGTCATCGTTGATAGATCGTGCCGCCTTTTGATAGATCGCATTTAATTTAACATATCACAATATTACTCTACTGTAAATACTCCGATATTATTCATTTGGTTTCACTCGGGGCATTCGCACCGTGCGTCAGTTACGAAAACATGAAACAGAATACGGAGCGAGACACGAAGAAAGTAGTGTACACTGACAAAACTAAGGTTATGATTTTGACAACAACGTGTTGTAAATGCTTACATTCCAACAAATGTTGTGAAGTAGCCAACAATTGTTGTCGTTGTACGTATTCACAATGACAACAATTGTTGGCTACTTCACAACATTCGTTAGAATGTAAGAATTTACAACACGGTGTTGTCAAAATCATAACCTTAGTTTTGTACGTGTATGTGCGTATACGCTTCATTCCTTGCGTCTTATTCATTATTCCCCCTTTTCAGCTGTTTGCATGGCAGAATAGAATAAGACGCAAGGCAAGAAGCGTATATGCAAATACACTACGTTCTCTTCGTGTCTCGCTCCGTATTCTGTTTCGTGCATGGGGCGGAAATGAATGAGACGAAATTTTCTCTCTCATGGGCGCAGCCATATTGAAAATTTTGTATGCGCTTACATGTAAAATTGGTGGCGCCACTGGTAAATTTGATGGAAAAAGAAGAACATGTTTGAGTCTCACTCGTTTATATGTAAATTACATAGGCATTTCCAGGCCATGGTTTCGTGTTTTCGTAACTGACGCACGATGCAAATGCCCCGGGCGAACACTGCAATTTGAGTGCTTGGGATGTAGTCATAACTGGGCACTGCCCAGTGGGCAGACAGGGGGGAGGGGGGACTAACCCCTCCTGAGGCATCAAATTTTTGCGTTACCCCTTTACAAAATTCATGATTTTGGATAGAATTTTTCCATTTTGCTAGGGTTTTTGGATCATAGATGAAATTTTCCAATTTGCTAGGAGTTTTTGAGAAAATTACCACCCCATCCCCCCTGGATTTTTCAGTCTGCCCAGCTATGGATGTAGTGTTCATATTATAAACTGCTTCAATTCTCACAATATCGAATTGATAAAAAACAATAATCACCGATTTACTTATCATAAAACAAGAAGAGAGAAGATGTTTAATATATCTGATTAGATAACATAACTGTGTTCTATTAACTATAAAACAAATAGAAGTCCATACTATCTGTTGACGCAAAAGTAGCATTCAAGATGATAACATTAATATTTTCATGTAAAGCCAAACATTTATTAAAGCAATTGTCAATCAACCTGTCCATATACCGTAACAGACAACTGACATTTTAATGAATATAAAAGGGATGAATTGCAAATATTGATAACAACGTATGTGACAATATAATTTTTCACGCCAGGCTTATATAAATACAGTTCGAACGGAAATTGTGTCAATAAAATACATTTTAACGCTAAAGTGGAAAGATCGTTCGAAAAGAATATTACGTGAAAATCCGATTAAGCAAAGACAAAAATGTTTCAAATAATTGTGTCGGTTCTTTTAGCAACACTGATTGCAACTGTTTACTTTTACGTAAAACAAATATTTTCGTACTGGAAACGCCGTGGTATACCATATGCAACACCATCTTTTCCATTTGGAAATTTTGGTGCGACATTTTCGAAAAAGCAGTCATTTGGCCAAAGTCTTCAAGATTTGTATAACAGTACGGATGCACCAGTGTTAGGTATTTATACATCGATACGCCCAGCTGTACTGGTTCGTGATCCAAAAATTACACGAGACATTTTGATAAAAGACTTCCAAAGTTTCTGGCATCGAGGCTTCCATTACGACGATAATGTTGATTCGCTGGCAAGCAATTTATTCTCATATAGCGGCGACGGTTGGAAAAGTATGCGAGCAAAACTAGTGAGTGCACATTTTACATTTTTTGTTCTTCTCTTCCATTCCCTGTATACATTTTCAATTGTATATAACAGTCACCAGCGTTCACAACGGGTAAATTAAAAGCAATGTTTGGAACAATAACTGATTGTGCAAATGCACTAGAGAAATATTTGAATAAACTGGCCGTAGCCCAAAAGGAAATTGAAATCCGTGATGTATTTGCTCGTTTTACTACAAATGTGATTGCATCTGTTGCGTTTGGCATTGAAATCGATTGCTTTGAAAATCCCGACAATGAATTTCGTAAATATGGATGGCGTTTTTTTGAACCAAAATTTAAACACCTTGTTCGCTTCAATATCTCACTTTTGAGCCCATTCCTTACAAAATTATTGGGCATTCGATTTGCTGATAAGGATGTTGAAATGTTCATGAAGAATATCATTCGTCAGACATTGGAGTACCGTGAGCAGAATAATGTTTCTCGAAAAGATTTCTTACAACTATTGATGCAGTTAAGAAACACAGGGAAAGTGCATGACGATGACGATGACTGGACAACGAAAACAACAAGCGACGAGAAATCGTTGTCTTTGGACGAAATGAGTGCGCAATCATACGTATTTTTTATTGCGGGTTAGTTAAAACAGAGTTGATACTCGAACCTATTTCAGAACAGAAACTACAATTATTTCAATTCTTAAAGGTTATGAATCATCGTCAACCACAATGTCGTTTTGCATGTATGAGTTTGCAAAATGTCCAGAAATACAACAAAAAGCATACGAAGAAATTACAAACGTTCTTCAAAAGCATGATGGGAAACTAACTTACGAAGCCCTCGCCGACATGAAGTATCTAGAGAGTTGTATTGATGGTATTTATTTATTTTATTTACTTGCGATGTATTGAAAAGTCGCATTTTCAACGGTTTTCTTCTTTTAGAAACCCTGAGATTGAATCCACCATTTGAGTTCTTTTCAAGAGAGTGTACACAAGATTACAAAGTGGCAAATTCAAACCTAATAATTGAAAAAGGAACACCAGTTCTCTTTTCGGTGATGGGACCACATTACGATCCGAAATATTACGATGAACCCGAAAAATTTAATCCAGATCGGTTTAAAGATGATCAAAGTGCCAACAAAAATTCCCTTGAAATGCCATATTTGGCCTTTGGCGATGGTCCAAGGAATTGTATTGCAAAACGTTTGGGTAAATTTCAGGCGAAACTCGGAATTTGTTTGTTGCTACGAAAATTCTCATTTGAATTGGGTGAGCAACACGTGAACAAACCACTTGTATTTAATCCAACTAGCGGAGTTCGAGCACCAATTTCAGGCATCAATTTAAAAGTATTTTCTCGCTTGAATAAATAAAATACAGTTGCTAAGCATTCAAAGAACCGGCATGCTTTTAAAATTGTGTGTCATTTTTCATTGTGAATAAAAAAAATATTTTTTCATCTTTCTTTCATCATATATTTAATATGCGTCTTTGTGTCATTATCAATGCAAACTTTGCAAAGAATAGTAACGATTTCAGATCAAAATATTAATAATCACTTCAATGGTGGTTTTTTACTCGAGGAAGCTCCAGTTTTTTTCCCTTTTGGTACCTTTGGAACTTTATTTGGAATTTTAGACGTTTCAAATTCGCGTATTTTAGCCTTGACAAGATCTTTTTCGTCAGTAGGAATGTTAATTTTATCCTTTTTCAGAAGATCTCTCAATGTAACATTAGTTTTAGCAGAATAAACCAATTGACGCGGAGTAACTATGTTCGTATATTGGTTAAAGTAGTCAATTAAATCTTTCACCTTCGACTTTTTCGTATTTATTGTTAGCGGCTTCAAAATGGGAAGAGGAAGATCGAGTTGCATTTGAGGTACATTTTGAGTAGTTGTTTCCTGGATGTGGGGACTTTCGATTTCTGGCTCTTGCTTTGACATAACATAATCAATGTCTTTGAAAAGGGAGCCGAGAGAATGTTCTGCAAATTGCATTTCTTCCTTTATTCCGACAATATTCTGCTTAATATTGTTTTGCAAATCCCCTTTTAATGTTTCTTTTAAACATAAGGTGAGTTGCTTCTTTAACTCAGTCATAACCTTCTTTCTCTGTTGATCCACATTTTGTACTTTTAATTGAATTGTTAATTGCAACTTATGCAGAATGTTTGCAAGTTTTTTGGTTAATTCAATGAAATTTTCCATACTGTGTCTCAATCTATTAACGGCACCCTTTGTATAAGCCACATTATCGTCGATAGTATTTTTTAAAGTTTCCATGGTAGCCTCGAGTGAGAATAACTGTTCTTCTTCCAAGCTTCCTATCTCTTTGTATTGTTCTATGGCATTGGAAATATTTTGATTTGCGTATAAAAATGAATCTTCCACTATAACGCGATACTGAATTGCAAACTCGTAAACACTTTTTATGTTGCTGTGAACGCCAATATCAAAATCATGAACGATTTTTTCATTGGCAAGCGCCTCAGTATAAAGTGTTACTTTTTCGTTAATGCCACAAATTGGTTCCACCAACGAATCGAATAAAATTCCATTTTCATTAACAATCGATACCAACATATTTAACCATTCCTTTTGTTTGTATAGTCTAATTTTATCCCTAAAATGACGAAGATCTTCAACCTGATCGTGATAGCGTTTCGTTAAGTGTTCTTTCGTGTTTCGATCAACCAAATATTCAAGACAATCCGCATCAAGAGGAAGATCAGGAAGATTTTCCTTATTGCCAACCGATTCTACATCGATCTAAAATGATAAAATACATATTTTGTTCAATTTTTATTCACAATGCACAATTGTTTATACCATACCGTTGCAAATATTCCAATTAAGGTCCCGATCAATAGGGATCGAATAAAGAATTCCATCATACAATCTATAAACTTCAAGAAATACCAATTTTCAACTGTTCAATTTTATACGTGAATAAACTGAAGTCAAGCCGGTTTTTTTGAACCCGCTTATATAGTCTTGGAAAGGTATGTTTGATATTCGAAATTGAAATTTTTGTCTGTTTAATATACACGCGCAATTATATTATAGTTCTGGATCTGCTGAACAAAGATATTGGAATGCAAAATTTATAATGTGGAAAACAAATGGAAAATTTGGTTTTGTCGATTTGCAACTGTTATTTCACATGATGTTTTACATTTATTGATCAATGATACATTTGTTCACCTTTCAATTTATCCTACTTGCTGTAATTTTATCTCATTTAACAAGTACTTTTTTATTCAATTCTTTTAAAGGTATAAGCAAACAATTCACGTCTTACTTTCGCAAATTAACAAAGACACTTCAAATTCTATTGACTGTATATGATTGCTTTTGAAATACTCAAGAAAATATTGACGTCAACCCAGGGCCGCTATTCTAATGCCACTTTTCGATCAATTTGTTCGGAATTATTCCGAAAAACATATTTCTATGAATGAATATTGTTTTGAATAATATTGTAGCACATAACGAGAATAATAGTCGTTATTCATAAGACAAAAAAAAATAAACAATATTCCACTTATTTTGTTCGGAATTATTCCGACACCTCTTTCAACAGTGGAATTATTCCGACAATATATTGAGCGGACTATTCATTTGAAACTAATATTTTTTTGTCGTTTCAACGTTTGGCGTCAAATATGGACACCAAAAGTACCAAAATATAACTTTAATAGAGCTCTACATTTGTCGCCAAACATTGAAAATATAAAAAAAATTGTTACACACTCAAAATATTAGCTACGGTCAGGCGCTGAATCGGACTGAAAACAATAGAAGTGGTTGTTATAGTGATTGTAGTAATGTGAGTGTTAATATAATTATAACAATAACACTGAGCTGAGTTGTTTATATAAACAAATGATTCCGAACGATTTTTGTGGATTGTTCTAGAATACCGGCCCAGATGTGTTTTCATTATTGACAATAAACGGTGTCGGTGAAATTATAAATATTGATTGACCGCATCCGAAGCCTGATCATGCCCGTAGCTAACAACACCTCTAATGCGTATTCCGAGTACTAATTGACGTTTGTGACAATATGGCCTTCACGGTTTGGCAAAATCATAATGAATCGATTAAACTGCGTTAAACTGTTAAATATTTCATTTATTATTTTATTTATTTATTCACCGTCTGATCACAGACTGTATTTATCACAACATTTTGTACAATACCATTCACAATGAATCACTATACCCGATCGAATATCCAGCTACCAGCCTTGTCGACTTCGGAGCAGCAGATATCGATTGTGTTCATTGTTTTAATCTCTAATTTTCAATACAATTTTTATAAAAATTACAGTTTTCACCGTTCAACAAATATTACATTTTCCAATTTAAAAATATTACTTCTAAAAATTTGTCTCGATGCTGATTCTAAAAACGTTTCTCTTATTAAATTAAAATTCCTACAAGCTACGTAAAATGGCTGGTTATGTGCATATTCCGATGTAAATGTTCTAACTCTAATTAGTTCTGTATTTCTTAAATTTCTTTGGTTTACGTTATATTGCTGTCGTGTGTATACAATTTTATTTCGAAGCGAACTAGATACTATTTTACCCAAAAGGAGGTCATAAATTAAAAATATAGTGGCATTTATACGCCGTCTCCAAAGCGGTTGAATGTTCAAAACATCACATCTAAACTGATACGGTGGCAATACATAATTCTCATCTCTCTGATATACATATCGTAACGACCAGATGACAAAATCTTTTTGAATTGATTCTATTCTATCGGAGTGGATACGATGATATGGAAGCCATACAATACTCGCGTATTCCAATTTTGACCTAACTAGTGCACAATATAATATTTTTGCAGATTCGATCGTGTACTTATTCTTTAATGTTCGTTTGATGAAACCCATTGCCGCATGTGCACTGGCTGCAATCGCATCGATGTGATCAGTGAATGTTAGTTTTGTGTCGAAAATAACGCCGAGATCCTTTTGCATTTTGGTCCGTTCAAACGTATGATGACCGTTGTCGATCGTATAGTCGTAGTTGACTACGTTTGCACCCTTTGCATACGTCATTACGTAGCACTTCTTCAGATTCAAATGCAGGTTGTTTTCGTTACACCAGTCGCTCAATTGATCAATGGCTTTTTGAAAAATGATGGCATCAATGGGCGAATGAATAGTGCGGATCAATTTCAGATCATCTGCAAATAATAAAACAAGTGCATTTGACACAGTTTCGACAATATCGTTTATGAAAATAATAAAGAGACATGGTCCCAAAATACTTCCCGCGGGTACTCCCGATGGTACAATGAAAGTCCTTGACTTTTTTTCACCAATTCCAACAAACTGCGATCGTGATGTCAAATAACCATGGAACCATTTGACAATTTGGCGGCCGAATCCAAATCTCACCAACTTCTGCAACAATTTCTTGTGGTTCACACGATCGAAGGCCTTCTCAAAATCTGTGTACAGCACATCCGTTTGACATTTATTGACCATTGAGTCCATCGTGAAATTTACCATTTGCAGTAAATTTGTTGAGGTTGATCGATTTTTCACGAATCCATGTTGATTGTGGCTGATTTGCGCATTAACAAATGTGTCGATTTTGGCATAGACAACAATTTCGAATAATTTGGCTATTGTTGGTATGATCACAACTGGCCTGTAATTCACTGCATTGCTCTTTTTACCAGCCTTGTAAATTGGCACAATTCTGGACTTTTTCAATGCATCTGGAACACATCCTTGTTGAAATGATCTACGAAATAGCGCTGTTAACGGTTTCGACAATGAGTGTGCGCAGTTCTTCAACACTTTCGGTGATATTCCATCTGGACCGGCTCCTTTGTTCGCGTCAATGGATTGCAATGCCTTTAACACATCGGCTTCAGTGATTTCAAAGTCAAATGATACGTCTCCACATTCATCCAGCAATTCATCCAAGTCGATAATGTCGCTTCGTGTGTACTGATTTTCGAAAAAATCAGCGAATAATTCCGCTTTCGATGTGTCGGTATTCGCTGTCACATCATTATACTCAACGATAGCTGGAATATCGCTCCGTTTCCTTCGATCATTCACAAATCGCCAAAAGTGTTTTGGATTTGATTTGATTTGTGATTGTATGCGGCTGATGTACGATTTGAATAACTGACTTTGTAATTGGATGAACGAATCCATGATGTTATTGTATTCGTCGAAATTGCCAGTCTGCCTTGCTTGCTTGTATGCTTTTCTTCTGACATTTTTCATGTGCTTCAATTGTTTCGTGTACCATGGTGGATCAGTGCCACTTTGAACGGTTATCCTCGGGACAAATGAATCGATCGCCTCGTGTAGAACATTTCCAAAAATGTGAAATGCATTCTCGAGGTCATCTATTCGATTAATTTCTGACAAAATGTGATTTCCAACGAAGAATGAATTCATCGCATCGAAATCGGCCGAGTTATACGCATAAATTTGTGAAAACTGCGGTGATGTGATCTCATTTTCATCAATTGTCACTTCCATTTCGAGTGCACAAACCAAATGTCCGATTTTACCAATGGCCTTGTCGATTCAATCAACGACATTTCGTAGAACCTGTTTGTGAATACAAGATCCAAAACATTGCCGGCTGGATTCACGATATTTGACAGTTGTTGGAATCCACAGTCGAACATTGTGTCAAAAACAGCAATGCCACCTTCTGTCGACACATTAATTGGCAAATAATATTCACCGTCATCGGCTTTGACCCATTTGACACCTGGCTGATTAAAATCACCACATACAATTACAATGTCATGTTCATTGTATGGAATCAGCTTGACGATCTCAGCAAATTCCAAGAATTTTGCGGTTTCATGTACCGACCGAATGTACACAGCAAATACATAAATATCGCACGAATCGAACGAAATTTTTACACATACGTGCTCAAGTCCGCTGCGCTCCGATAGAATCAGCCTTTCACTGTTAAATTGGCATTCAACAGCAATCAGCACTCCTCCACCATCAATTCTATCACTTGTGAGTTCCGTCCGATCACCACGATACACATTATAACGTTTGCCAAAATGTTCAATGTCAGTAATGTTCTTTTGAAGCCACGTTTCGAAGAAAGAAATTATATGAAATGGACACGATTTTGTTGCTAATCGTACCTCATCTACTTTGTCCCGAATTGAATGTGTATTCTGTATATACACATTCAGTTTTGTGTGCTTCGAGACTATTTTTGGCGAGTTTTTTGTTTGTTTTCGATGCGGTGTCAATGTTCGTTCTTCGTTTTGTACGATGTGGCCT